GAGATTTTTCTATAAATTGCAGTCTACCAAGAAATAGGATTATTTTTAGGTTTAATATTTTGTGTTTTAGATGAGCTACTTGATTTTTTAAAAAAGTACCCATTTCAGTTTTTGTGATAGTTCAAACTTGCAATAATCTTGCTTATTGAAAAGTTGATCACTTTGAATTTATTTGCAATTGTAACTATTTTTTTAAATATTACAGCTATCTGCTTGGTTCTCTCTATTAATTGTCTGGTTGGGGGAAGAGAGTAAATACCTTCAAATCAGTCCTGACTCCTGGGTGCTGCCTGGATGAGTCTGTGTAGTTTTCTTGGAAAGACTTTGAAAGACATTTGCCATTCTTGTCTTCCTAGGGCTGACCCCAATGACTTCATGACTAAGGCAGAACTGGAACTCACAATCTTTCAGTGCCTTTAACTACCACATCAATCTCACTCATTGAGTTTAGTCCCTCTGAATTAGCTGGACTAGTTCCAATAAAACAGCTAATTTTTAATTGTGGTTTTCTAGGGTTATCTAAAGAAAATCCTGATGCATAGGCAGAAAAAATGATATTCATAAGGAACATGTCACAGACAAAATTATTTTAAAGTAGCTGTTAGTATGTGGGTTGTCTACTGTATAGCTAAAATCCTTAAGCATCTTTTCCCTGTGTTTGGCTTTTGAAAAAAGTGAAAAAGAATGTTTATGCAGTTGCATTTTGGGACAAAAAATAGTCCCAACTTTTAAGACTGAGCATGTTAATGTATGTCCTGTTTTCATGTGATTTTAGTCAGGGGCTATAATGGCTGTCCTTGGAGCTGTATGTACAAAGATACCAGAAGCCAAGCTAGCTATAATATTTCTTCCAATGTTCACATTTACTGCTGGAAATGTAAGTAGCTTTGAATAATTGTTTAGAAAATTTTTTTACCTGTTATGTATACCTGAGCAATTTTCTGTACTTTGTTATATTTCAAAATTGGGTACAACTTGAACGTTTTATTTAAGTCTAGATGACTGATAATATGGAGCAGTGTGGCTTTTGTTTACACTGAATTGAATTTTTAAGGCAAAACTTTTGGATTCTTTGTGTATTAAATAAGTCAAATTCCAAAGGGATATTATAAAAAGTGTTAAGATGCATATTGCTTTGAGAACCAGAAATCTACTTTATATAGGTTGTAGATGTAATATGTTCTACTTGTCTACAAGAAAAGCACTTTTTTTCTTGATTGCTCTGTACCCCACTTCCCTTTCTGCGATAGTCTTTTGGAATTACTGGTTCCAATTGGCCTAAAGTAGCCCAGGTACCTAGGTAATCTAATCTTCAGGTACAACTGCTGAAATGATCCGATTTCCTTTTTCGTTATGGTATACATAATGATATTTCTAGTTTGCGTATTAGGAACAGAGGCTAAGCTGTTAAAAAATGTATATTCAAATCAGAATTTAGTATAATTGTACATTTCATCATTATACTGTTGACTGCATAGCAGATGCTAATTTATGAGTATGGGATAAATGTTTCTGATATGTTTATAACTGTAGTAGCTTTGCTACTTATTGTATTTTATTAATAGATCATTTATTCATTTCTAGGCTTTAAAAGCTATTATTGCATTGGACAGTGTAGGACTTATCTTGGGTTGGAGGTTTTTTGATCATGCATCACATCTTGGAGGAGTTCTGTTTGGCATGTAAGTATTCATATTATGTTATGATAAATGTGACATATCACTGCATTTTTCTTGTGTTCAAAAAGATCATGCAAATTGTCATTTTCTTGAGTCTGACTTTACTATTAAGAATTATTTTAGGCATGAATTACCTTTGTCTATAAGCAGTTTTTATCTCTCTTATGTATTTTGTAAAAAATTTCTTTTGTTTCTTTCTTTCAAGATGGTATGTAATGTATGGGAATAAGCTAATATGGAATAATAGAGAACCAGTGGTGAAAGCATGGCATACAGTGAAGACATGGAGGCCAAATAAATGAAGCGGACTCTCAGCTGCTGCATTTCAGAATATATTTGCACTGAAATGAGCACACGTATTGGACACAAGATAGTGTATTGATTAGATCATAACTACATACTAATTACTAAGACTTCAACTTCTAGCCCCACAATGAAAATAAATACGCTTGGTAAATAAAATTGTATACCTGAAACAAAGACGTGTACCTTATTACTGAGTAAGGCTGTATCCCTTTTTGAAGTATCTTAGAACTGAATTAAAATTGGATTGTCTGATTAATTTATTTTTAAATGACGATAGGACAATTCTTAAAGCAACAATCCCAATACCACTTTTAGAGGAAATTTTTCATTCTTCAGCTACCTGTATTTAATATGAATAGACACATACAGAAGATATTCTCAGATATCATAATTTTGTATCTCCCTTGTAGTCATTGCTCAATGAACAGATAGCAGCTGTGATCAGGAGGGCCTTGCGCAGATTCATCCTGTGTACCAATTGTACACTTTCCCTGAAGCCCCTTTAAATAACCATTCATGACATGGTCACTTCATGACTGGAATGTTGTGATTTGCTCTACATGGGCCTGCTCTTGAAAACTATCCAGAAGCTACAAGTGTTTCAGAATGCAGTGGTGTAAGCCATAGTGGGCACTTCTCGTTACGTCCTTGTGTTGCAGTCAAGCAAACTGCATGAGTTGTCACTTGGTTTCTGAGGTGCAGTTCAAGGTGCCTGTTATCACTTCTAAAGCCCTTCATGGCACTGGATGTGTTATCTGTGTGCCATCTATTTCCATTTCTATCTGCCTAGCATATTCAAGCAAAGATAATGCACTCCAGGTTCTCTCAATTAAACTTTGTTATCTTGTGGGACCAAGGAAGTGTGCCTTCTTTGTCACTGCCCTTGCCCTCTGCAATAAGGCGCATGCACATACACGCACACAATATGTATGGCACTCACTTTCCTGGGAATAGTATGTCTGTTCTAGATGATTGTGTGAGAACATTCTTGCCTGAAAAAAAGACCAAAGCATTTAGAGATAAAAGCCAGAAAGTATACCTTATTGGAATACACTTGCAATGTTCATTGGGCTCCCTGCCAGCAGATACCTGGATAAAATTAGAACTTAAACACACATTTTGTCAATTATATTTGAAACAAAGATAAAGCGACTAATACAATTACATTGTGAGCCTTCTCCTGAAATGCTTTGATAAACAGTTGACTCCATTGTTTTATATCATGTTTACAATATCAACTCTAATACTATCAACCTGTGCCATAAACAGCAATGTTTATATTATGTCTTGTTACACTATTACATTCCTCCACCCTAGAAGGACAGCTGTCTGATTTGTATTAACTGACTCTTGTGCAAGGTTACAGTATTGGATACTAGGTAATACAAATACACTGCTATCTCTAAGCTAACTAAAGACATACCTAAAAATGGGTGCATATATTTCAACATATGTGGCAGACATCCAGTTATACTACTACATTCTCCCATTCCTTTCCTCCCTCTTGGGGTGGACAGCAAGAGGGTGGGTTTTGATATGATAATATACAAGCCACCCAAAGGATGACGATAAGGGAATGTAAACATCCTTTATGACAAAAGTTGTTACAAATAACAATAATTACTACAGCAGGAGGGTCTACAAGCTGTGTAGATGCAGAGGACCAGTGTTAATAAGGCAACTAACAGACTCAAAGGTGAAATATCTTTTAACCCATTTCCATATATTATAGTAGAAAAGTTAGGAATTGACAATAATAATGCATGCTCTAAACTTGATTCTTGCATTGATTCTAAATTATGAACTTGCTCATGAATTACTGTTATATCAGTTTCCATTTGTTTTGTATTCATTAATCCAACAGTAGAAGGAATTCACTAATTTACATGGTCCTTGTGAAGTAAATTAATCCAAAGTCATTTTATTATACATACTACAAGTGGATAATTTCTTCTACTTTTTTTGTATAGTATGCAAAGGATTGGTTAATGCATGAAAGACCTACTCTACTTCAATGATGCATTCAAAATACCTTTTTGTAATTCATAGACCCCGAAATTTGGTAGTAAAACTCTTAATGCATTAACAGAGTTATCTTCCTATCAAAGGGGTCTCAATACACTTAGGAAATCTTAAATGCTGGGGACCACTAATTTATACTGATATGTAGTAGTATAGTAGTACATGTAGTAGTATGTTGTCCTTAGAGCTTTCCTCAGAAATTCCCAGTTAACATTTTATTAGCATGTTTTCCATATATCGAACAGATACCAGGCTGCAAGAAAATATTTATGATGATATCCAAGACCTCAATGGATCACATACTTCCAGAAAAAAAGCTATTCTGTTTTCTGACCTTTCCCAGATCCCTCAAGTACAATCCTTGGCCAGAATAGTTTTTAATCTGTTTCAGTTGATAACAGTCTATAACTGCTGTATTGTCTGATCAACTTCCAGCTTGATTTGTATAATGTACATGCATAGGATTGCCACTCTGCATCACTCACAAACCAACTGGTACAAAATACTGCAGGTTAATCTTATAAAGGCCAGTTTCACCAGTTCTGAAATGTTTTACTTAAATACTGCTGGTAAAGGAAAAAGAATGCTGACCTCAGTGCATTAGGAGTGCTTGTATAATTCCTGCAATATCCAGCTGCTTTTGTGAACATTGGCACTTGCTTATTTTTCCTCCCCCCCCCCTTTATTCCAGATTAATAATCTAATACAGGAGTTTCTCTCTCCCCTATTTTAGATTGCAGGAGACATGTATAATAAATTCTTCATGGAATGCATGTAGATTGCAGGAGACATGCATAATAAATTCTTCATGGAACGCATGTATAAGAATGAACTAGCAGGCTGCAGTGATTACAGCTAAGTAGGGGTAGGATGCTTCCTAAAGAGGTAGAATGATAGGGCAGAAAGACTTGGTGACTGGTGCTGTGTGTCACCCCTTAGTCCCCCCTTCCCTCCCCTATTATCTCTATCCCTCACCAATGCTGCATTAAGCTCCTTCTGTCACCCCGGGTAGGGGGTGGGGATGGGAATGAATGACTGAGCTATCATCACGTGTTTGCTAGCCTCCTAAAGAAAACCGATTGACCAAAGTGTGGGATGAGGGGGGGAGCCTGATACCGAGAAGCGAGCTGGAAGTAACTCTCAGCCAGGGAAGCCACTTGGCGTGCTGCAGAACACCCCCTCCTCCGCTGAGGCACCCCCACCTCCCACCCCCGGGTCCCGGTATCTATCACTGCATCCTCGCGCGGTGCTGCCGCCATGGCTTGGCCCTGCATCAGCCGAGTGTGCTGCCTGGCGCGCTTCTGGAACCAGCTGGACAAGTCGGATCTGGCCGTGCCGCTCACCATCCACAATTACTCCGACATCGAAGAAGGGGCGGAAGCGGGCGGTGGGGGCGGCAGCCCTCAGCAGCCCCGGATCCCGTCCGGAGGCACCGCCAGCAGCCGACCCCAAGCCCCTCCGCGGCCAGCCTCTGCCCTGCCGGTCTCCGCGTCCGCCCCCTCGTTGCGGGACAGCCTGGTCGTTGTCAAGAGGCCGTCGAAAAAAAGCGGGGGCAGGCACCGGAAGGAGCCCTTCGCCGCAGAGACTCAGTACCAGCAGGATTTTCGAGCGTGGCCGCTGCAGAAGAGAGACACCCTGCCCTGGCTTGGGGAGTGTCGGAAAGCTGAACCCACGAGGGCACCTCCGGCCGCCGGAGCCCCTGCCGCCTCTCCCCACGATGACATCTTGGCAGGGTCTCGCGTGTACGTGCTGCCGGCGGCGAGGCAGGAGGTGAGCAATAAGGAGGTTGGCTCCAGACAGGTGTGGCCTTCCTCCTCGCCTCCAGGTATCGCCAGGACTTCTTACAGGTAACTTCTTGAATTTTTGTCTGTGGTCTATTTTCTCCCTGGCTGCAGGCTTAACTTCAAGGCACAACATTGCTCCATTTCTAGATTATGTATGTATGTATGTACTAGTATGTGTGTGTGTGTGTGTGTGTATGTATGTGTGTATGCGTGCATGTGTATGTATATATGTTTATGTGTAACCAACTGCTTGAATATGCTTAAGTCTTTCAAGGCAGGCAAACCCAGGAAATAAGAACCACTAGAATTCTGGAGATAACCTTACTGATAGTAGGGTAATATAACAATCTTGAAAGCCTGCCAAAGCAATTATCCAGCTCTTCTGTAGCAGAATTAAGGCAGAGTCACTTTCTCATGTTTTCCCTGTCCCCTCACTGGGGGATCTTTTCCCAATGGTTTTTCTCCTTCTGTGCCAGTTGTGCTTCATCCTTCATGTTCCCAGGTGAGTTAGACATTTCATCACAAATATATACTGAGTATGTTGTTATTTAGATTAATGTCCTGTCCTTTCTCCAAGAGCTCAAGTGGGTTCGTTGTCATGGTGGAAGGTCAGTACATCATTTTTTGCTTTCTTTATACAGTACATATGTAACCAAATTGGCACTATGAAATATACTTTCAGTGGACCCTGCATTGTATTTAGTCTTTTATGTTATATGTAATTTACATTCTATGATATTTATATCTTGGTTTTTCTCGGAAAGCTTAAAGCAATGCATGGAATCCTCTCTCCTAAACATATTAGTTTTACAGTGAACATGGACGATATATTGGATTTAATATAGAAATGAATGGGCTGAAGTCACCCACCAACTTTTATAGCCAAGTTGGAACCTGAATTGCTCCTGTCTTGGTCCAACTTCTTTAATACATCTATAGTATTTAAACATTCTTTGTTATGAAAATAGACCTGGTTAATATTTGGATCTGAGATTACTAGAAGAGCTCAGGCCTATGTAGGAAAAAAATGGGAAAAAATCCTGAGTAGAGGCAATGGCATGCTGCTTTCACACTATAATCAAGAAAACATGGCTCTATCTGTATTGTCACCTCAAGTTAAATTTGATTGCAGTGAACTTGTTGCCTTTGCTTGAAAAACAAGGCCCATTAGACATCCAGTCTACCTTTACACAGCAACATTTTTGTCCAGGTAATTATCAACCAATCCTTTTTTACACACAAAAGCTTATTAAATAATAATATATGAAATAACCCAGGAATCAGGGACTGAGCATTCATCAAAATGATGAAATGTGAGTAATAGTATCAGGACACAAGGTCCACATCCTACATACTGCTATATGATGTTGCTATATGACCCTAAATACAAAAGGGTCAGAATTTGAATTGTGCAGTCACAATGCACATATCAATATTTCCCCCCACTGTGAATGTCCATGAAAGTCATAATAATCTGATGGAATGTGATTTCCAGAGTTCAACCACTGATGCACATACAGGTTTCAGGCAAGGCAGTCTTACAGTGACTATGTGCTCTCCTAAGCACCCCTAGTCCTTTCAACATTTCCCTTCTAAAAACACCTTAAATGTTACTCACAAATCAACATTATATAAAAAACACATATGTATTCAATGTTAAATGGAATAATTTAGTGAAGTACTTTTGTAACTTTCTGTATATAATGGGAAAGCAGATTTAGTTTGCCTTTTCTTTTTTCAAAGCAGCAGCATCAACTTAACGTTCATTTTGCAAATTAATTTTAGACATGAATGTCACCCATGGTCTGCAGGAAAACGATCCAGGCCTACAAAGACAACACAAGGGTTCATTATTCCAGAAGATCACTTTGTGCAAGAATCTAGCTACAAGTCAGGCTTTAAGGTAATGTGCTTTACAAAGCTTTTGGAATGCAGAAATTTGCTAAAGTTTGATCAGTAGGAAACAGGCCCTTTAAAAAATGGTATGTTTTGAAAGAAGTGCTTCAAAGTAATACATATTAATAGATATTAATAATAATCTATTAATAAATAAATATTAATAGAAATTTGGAAATCAATAGAAATAGAAGTCAGGAAAGGTGTCTTGATTTAGCAGAAGCAGTCCTATGGACATGATCCATTTACGTTGAATTGAATCCCAATTTAACCAATACTAATCTTTGGGTCCTTTTGTTTTAAACATATCCTCATTTGGAGCCACTTGTTGATTCATGGAATTACTACCAAAACAAGGTCAGGATATATACCTTGAACTTTAAGATTTAATTGTATGCAGCACAATCCTTTGCCATAATATCTATGCTTTAAATGAGATCACATTTAGCTCAGTGTCCTCTTCTCTTGAAATCAGCCAAACAACTACCAAAATTAATATAACTTTCTTGTATTTGTTGCAATTTGTTTCCTCATTGTCTTATATCAATGATTATTCATTGCAAAGACTCAGTTCTTTAAAACATAACAGTGATGAAAAGTGTGCATGCATATTAATCCATAATGACTGAATTAGTTCATAATTCAGCATATTGTGCCTTATGTATCCATAAGTCATCATTTTGTGCCTTGGTATTACATGTGCGAAAGACTATTTCTACTGGCATCAGAGTATTTAATTTGGATCTTAAAAGGTAAAGGTAAAGGTTCTCCTTGCACATATGTGCTAGTCATTCCTGACTCTAGGGGGCGGTGCTCATCTCTGTTTCAAAGCCAAAGAGCCAGCGCTGTCCGAAGACGTCTCCGTGGTCATGTGGCCGGCATGATTAAATGCCAAAGGCCCACTGAACGTTGTTACCTTCCCACCAAAGGTGGTCCCTATTTTTTCTACTTTCATTTTTTACGTGCTTTCGAACTGCTAGGTTGGCAGAAGCTGGGACAAGTAATGGGAGCTCACCCCGTTACGCAGCACTAGGGATTCAAACTGCTGAACTGCCGACCTTTCTATCGACAAGCTCAGCGTCTTAGCCATTGAGCCACCGTGTCCCTCAATTTGGATTTTACGTCATACTAAAGCTGTCAACCACAATATAAATACATGTTCATAAGCAATAACTTAAATGTCATGTGTATAAGGGCTTGAGATATTATGTATGTTTTTATGTGTGGATATCTGGGGGATTTTCGCCGGGATTGAAGAAGTTTACATTATAGCCTATTTTAACTCCATTAATTAAAAAAAAATATTTCAAGGGGGAATCTGAATAAAATCTGTAATTAGAAACATGATAACGGATTTTAAGGGATTATTTGTTCCCTCTAGCTCCCTGGTACTTGCATATGGAGCATCACAGACAAGTCATATTCCGTTTAAATGCATTACTTATCTGGTGGCCAAATAGATCATCTTCATGCTGGCAAGCCATGCACAGGAAATAATATTTTTAATTCCTTTAGCAGGAGAAATGCTATCAAATAATGTAGGTCAGCTTTCCTCAAGCAATCATTCTGTAGGTATATTATTGGGCTACAATATCCATCATTTCCCAGTATTACAACCAGTCCCCCATACCTTTTCTTTTTCCTCTCTAGATTCCAGAAGCAAAGACAAAATTTTCTTCAAATCCTTCTGCTGTTTTCCAGGCGCCATCTCGCATTCTCAGTATATGAATCTGGATCATGATCATTTTCTGTTCAACCAGCTTAAGGTTGTGAAAATGAACAGCTATGCAACTTTGTAAGTGCTGGTGAGATAAAAGTAAAGGATTATTAAAAGCAGACATAGTAATTATCAGAGTTCATGAATCTAATATGAATATGTAAATCATAAATACTTGAATTTGAATTGAAGATAGTCTAATTTACAGGAAAGAATGACCTAGATTCACAGATCCTCATTACCATTAGCTAGACTTGGTTCCCATTTGAAACACTGACTTTAGCAAGGAAAAAGGCAATATTTTAAGCAGTATGCTGATTCTTAAGTAAAAAAACACATTGTATAAAATGCATTATTAATTTTCCATCTCCATTAATTCATGGTCATTTTACCCTAAAACAATTTGGGTAGATTTTAATTTTTGTTACTTCTTTTCACTCATCTTTAAATGAATCTCACCCTTTTACAGACATTTTAATGCCATGTTATTGAGAATCATTACATTACAGAGAATCCAGAAATGTGAGTTTTATTTTATTTTAATTATAATTATTTTGTAAAAGTAATTAAAGCATCATAGGAATGAAAGTACAGTTGGGCTGAGTAGCTTTAATCACTTATATCATGTCCTTCAGCCACCTCTCAAATTATTTAAACACAAACAGCTACAGGGATCAACTCTTCTTTTTTATTTTTTCATTTAATTTCATTATTTTATTTCATTTTTAAATTTTTTACACAGCCCAACTCCTGAAAACTCTGGGCAGTTCATAGGTTAAAAACATGAAGAACAATGAAATAATACATGATAAAAACAAAGAACAAAAGATAGAACAACAAAGTAAACCCACATGACCCAGAATAGGACTTCAATAACAAAGCCAGTTTTTCAGGGATCTCCAAAGCAGCAGGGTGGAGGCCATCCAGATCTCTGGGGAGAGGAATCTCATTCCAGAAGGCAGGTGGTACAGCAAAGAAGGTGCACCTCTAGAGTCCCAATAAATGGCATTGTTTACTCAAAGGAACTAGGCCACCCCAACCCTGTTGGATCAAATTCGGCTGAGCAGATACTAAGGGAGATAGGCACAAACCGTGCATATAGTATTCATTCTGAGTTACTTAATGTGGTTTCCATCTTCCCTTCCTTGTTACATAGCATGTAACTATTGGAATTTAGCTCAAAGGTCATCTAGTCCTAGACCATTTCTGATAAATGGTGACCCAGCCACTGTTTATAGATTTGAAGCAAAGGTGAACCCACCACTTTATGCATCAGCTAATTCCACTATCTGATAGATCACCCAGATCTGCATCTTTAAAATATATGAAGACTATGTTCCTGTCTCTTCTCAGTTGCCTCTTTTGTAAGCTAAACATATCTAGATCCTTTCACTGTACTTCAGTGTTCACTCAGCACTCACTATTTAGGGCTTGATTTCCAGAACCTGAACCATCTTTGTAACCTTCTTCTGATCTCACTCCAATTTGTCCTTCTCCTTTGTGCTGCCCAGAACTGGATGCAGTGCTCCAGGTGGGTTCTGACCAGGGAAGAGTAAAGGAAGCAACAATTGCTTCCAATCAAATGTTGGCTGACGTTTTTGTGGTTCTGGAAGAAAAGGAAAAACTAGAGGCTTGATACTATTAGAACAATTATATACTTTCTTCAGAAACTTTTAACATCATATTTTGCTTCAAGAGATTGTTTGTCAATATTGTTTTTTTTTCTTTTGGTGAAGGTGTTCCCTTTACTTATGGCTTTCTTATATCTTTGGTTCATTTTTTTCCTAGGCTGTTTTCCCGAGTCCTGTTGTTGGTCATGTGAGCCAAGGTGCAAGCTCCTTTATGGCTGTATGACCAATGTATAGCCCGTCTGTAACACCCACATCAATACATTCCCAAATGAAAGTCTAGTCTTTACTGTGAAGTTTAAAAAGTGGGTATGATTAAGAAGTATTACAAACCATCCTGTTTCTTTTCTAAGTCAGAGAGACCCCTAAATCATGCTCTGAAATGAAAACTGGATTTTTAAAAGTGAGATTGCTTTATTTACTTATGCTCTGCCCATTATACAAAGCAGGTTGTTTATATCAATGTATGCCAAATAAGAAACACAGCTCAAAATGCAACACACAGCCAGAGGATCACAGCCTCATCAATATTCCATGATTTATGTACCTAGAATTAACTGATCTTTAGCAAGCACACTTTTTCCTGGAAGTTTTTTTCAGTCTTGATAATGTTTTCCTGAAGGCTTAATTTCACTGAGAATTCAGTTATTAAATTCTGGAAAGAAAACTCCTTTAAGACAGAACAGAGGCAATTCACATTTTCTTGGGGGCTAATAGCCCTTACTAGTTTGGATTAAGCATTGAATATTGCACTAGGCCACACATTAAAGCAATGGCCAAGATAATTTATTTAATGTGTATGTAAATGTTGTAAATAGGAAAAATTTTCCAAAAGAAAAAAGAGTGCATGCTTAATATGATTTTATTTAACATTCATAGTTTTTGAGTATGCAAACTAGAACATGATTTGCCTTGAAAAAGCAAAATTGCTGCTTGTTGCTAAGGAATTATGTGTTATATATGTTATAGTGTGATTTTTAGAGACAATTTTACTTTTCATTATTTTGGAAGAGCATTTTTGTACAGTATTGTAATTTTTGCTTAGACATTTTAAATACACTAGTTTTTAATTCTCATTCATTCCTAATATTGCATATATTTAAGACAGGGTTTGACATAATTATCACCCCACCTTAATGCATTGTTTCATTTACTTTTGCAGAAGTTACAATCATAGTTTGTTGCTGATTCCAGTATACTTTTGTAAGCTTTTGATGGGCACATCAAAATGGGAAATTTCTGATTCAGGTTGGCCTTCTCATCTAGCCCATTTCTGGGTATACAGTACCCAAGACCCTTGCGAATTTTATACTGAAAAATTCATATTTAACATTCCCTAGTTTAAAATGTGGCAAATAACATGCAGCCAATTTTTCATATATAAAGAGAAGTGCAAGTACTGTATAATTCAGAGAAAATTGGCTGCAAGCAAGTTGTTTTTTCACGAAAATTTCCTTAATTGTAATCATTCAGCTAAGATCTAAAAAGTTATTTACATTATCAGAAAGAGTATGTGCCTGTTGTGGGTTTTTGTTTTTTAAATAAGAGGCTCTCTTGCCTTCCACTAGTGCCATATCATAAACTGCTTTTGACAATATTTTATGTAGCAATCGTTTTCCTTAACAGTAAAGGGCCTGCTGCTTGAGAATTGTAGTTTCAAAATCTCCTTGAGCATGTCCCGTCCCCCCCTTTTGGAACAATCACAATAATAAGATACTTGTCTATAAGGTAAATGACAACATTGTTCCTTCAATAGTCATGAGGCCAGTTTGCCAGATGAATCCAACACACTGAATGGATTAGGAGGAATGGGAAGGTACAATTTGTAGAAACATGTTCCAAATTGCAATCCTTGCATGTTTAATGTTTCTAGGTGAAATTAATATTAATTTTCCTTGACTGATCTAATTTCTTTGAACATTAACTGGTTTAATTATTTGTAAGCCTGACTTTTACTAAATGGAGAAAAGAAAATCACGCTGCCTATTTGGTTACAGTTATTTTATTTCTTAAAAAAAAAAACATGGCAGAACATGATATTTGTATTTTATGGAATTAGATAATTTATTAAAATGTATTTTTGTCTACACATTCTTTCTGCTGTAGTTTTTGGACTAATGGAAATTATTTGAATACTGAAAGATTTTGATGATCTAAGTTTACACAGAAGGACAATAATGTAAAGTGTCATGTACTGTGCTTCCTGATCTTATCTATCCAGAGTGGGAAACTACATATTTTCCTACATTCTATACTTTCCTTTCTAACATGGAACTAGGTATGTATTTCCCCCCCTCACATTCTACATAATCTGGGCATGTTCTTAATCAGTTGCCCTTTCCATCTTAATGAAATAACTGAATTAGTTAGAATTCTGCTAACTTTGCTCATTATAAACTTCCTGGGCGCTGTCTAATTCTGGAACCCCCTTGTTTGAATTCAGAGAAGCAGGTAATAATTAGCTATATTAGGTCTTCTTTGTTTTTTATGCAGCGTTTAGAGACAAACTCTTGCTGAAAAAAAAGGGAACATTCTGTAAAATGCAATCTATACACTTTTTCAAAATAGGAAGCATAATAAAGTTCTGGCTCAAGGATGATAAAATCAATTTAGGTGCAGAAAGAGACATACAGTAGAAGGATAGTGGATATAAAGTACAAATGGATCAACCACTTATCGCCAGGTTTTGTGCCTTTGTCACTCATTATGGATAACTGGATATTCCAAGGTAAAATACATGCAGTTTTTTTATTTTGGGTTCTCTGGCTACATCCAATGACAATTTTTGAAATTTTAAAATGTAAGGAATAATACTGAAGGCAAACTCAACATATTCTTAGTATGGGGATACAGGTGCAAATTGGTTCATGATGAATATTAGTAAGCATTTGGTGCTTAGCTATAGCTGCTTAATATGTTTCCAGTATAAAAATAGCAACAAGTATGTTACCTATTACAATTTTGCTACAGAAAAATATTTTTTAAAGAACTATCAAAATGGTTGATAAAGACATGAAATGTTGTTTTGATAAAGGATATGTCTCATTCCCCCGAGTACCTTTTATAGAAAACAATATGATCAAGCAATAGCTGAAACTGTGTAAATAGATCACAGATATTAATTTAAAAAAGAAAAAAACCAACCCAAGAACATCCTGAAAATATAGAAAATTCTTAACACATTCGCTTTATGCATCATGTATTGTGATTGCATGATATGAGAGATGGGACGCAGTGGCTGAGCTTGTCGATCAAAAGGTCGGCAGTTCAGCGGTTCGAATCCCTAGTGCCGTGTAACGGGGTGAACTCCTGTTACTTGTCCCAGCTTCTGCCAACCTAGCAGTTTGAAAGCACGTAAAAAATGCAAGTAGAAAAATAGGGACCATCTTTGGTGGGAAGGTAACAGCGTTCCGTGCGCCTTTGGTATTTAGTCATGCCAGCCACATGACCATGGAGACGTCTTCAGACATCACTGGCTCTTCGGCTTTGAAACGGAGATGAGCACCGTCCACTAGAGTCGGGAACGTCTAGCACATATGTGCGAGGGAAACCTTTACCTATTTATTGTGATTGCATAGCTGTAAGAATCTTTTATTGTAACCACAAGTCATATGAAACACATATATAGAAAATGGAAAACATTGATTAAAAGGAAATAAAATTATAGCCAATATTACAAAGTCTAACCAAAATTAGAATAGTAAATGTAACAAAACTTTATAAGGCCAACCATGAAATCACTGTCTACCTAGTAGCCTAGAAGGTTCATGGAAATACAGGGATATAGGGTGTATCAAAAGTCCATCCCCATAGACAATTTATTATATAAGTTACCTTAAATATTCAAATTGGTTGCCATTTTATTCTAAACATTTCATTAATTATTTGATGCATTGCTTTTGAACTTTCTAAGGTAATATTTCTCTGAAACAATATTAAAACATTTTGTGATTGGCCAGTAGGGCCTGACTTTTGGTACATGTAGCATGACTCCTGACTCTATGTGTATAAACAGTGATATTTAATTCAATGCAATATATATTTTAAGTAAATGAAGCGCCCTGCCATTTTATTAAGCTAGAATGTAGTTGCTATGGCAATACTCATCCTGCAGCCATCACTGTGATTTGGTTGTATGAATTGTTAACATTGACAGGGGGGACTTGCTTTTAAATGGAAAAAAGCTCTTACAGTTCATTACTTATATACAAAATGCCTCTTAAGTTAAATAACTAAATATTGAATCTATGTAGGAGATTCAGAATTCTTGATTGAACTATGTACGCAAACCTCAATATTTATCATATATCCTTGCTGCCACCAGAATACTGTGGTGACTTCTGCTAAATATGTATAGTTCCTTCAAGGAATGTGTTCAGCATGTACCTAGTATGGAATATACTTCTCCTGAGCATACATATTTGAGTGTGATATACAAATTACTTGAGCACAACAAATAATCAGCAAATTATAGAACTGTCCAGATTTAGAGGCCACAAATGCAACAGTGACCAGACAGGTTACAAGTAAAGTGAAGTCAGTAAGTATAGCTCTGGTGTAGCATTTCTTTTACTCTTCTCATGGCTCTAATGCTGAGCCATGCAAAATACCATGTAAACTTTATTAAAAGGGCTAATCATAGAGGCTCGTCCAGAGAATGCTGGCTCTGACACTGTGTTACTAATTCTGTTAATGTCTTTGCTCTTTTTGAATTATGATTAGGATGATAGTACTGTAGTATAGTACAACATACCATGTCAAATCCAGTTCCCATATTATATTTTAATGAGTTTTGAATATTATGGTGCAGCTTGGCTTGAGAAAGTGGAAATTGCAACCATCTCTTTTCATGTAAGAAACTTGGGAGTGAAAAATAGTACATGTCACTCCTTCGTTTTCCTTGTTCATTTTAAAAACTGAAAGTGAAGATAAAAATCTGAATATTGTTTCTTCACAGTATTTTTTAGTGTTGTAGTATATTTTTCTACATAACTCAATAGGGTAAGTTGTTTACTGCAAACCAGCAATTTGTCTCAACAATGGGAACAGTATTGAGATTTAAAAAGATTAGTGCAGAAACAGGAATGGCAGAGCCTGAATTAACATGCAATGAAGATAAAGATGAAAACAGCGTAAATATGAAGTAGTAAATAAAACAAATCAAGTAGTCCCGCCTTACTGTACTTAATAAAGAAAATTTATTGTAAAGGTATATCACACAATTATACATTATAGTACATATGATGATAAGGGTTTAAGTTGGTAATCAACATGGACAAAAATAGTCCTCAAATATTTGAAGGAGCTATTCTAGGAAAAAGAATGTAGGGTGTAGAATTAGACTGTTTCATTCAATGAAGTTAAAATAGTATAATACATATCAGTCTAATATAATAGCAAATCTCTCACTTTCCAATGAAGATATGCCCAAACTACAAATCAAATCTGAAATACCACACATTTTAAAGGGTAAGATTTTATGAATACCTGCTTTGCTAACTCAGAACATCAGGTTATTATTATTATATTATCACTATTATATAGGGTTTTTTTTTTGTTTAGATTTATTTTCAGCAAAGAAAGCTTCCAGACAATACAACTGAAAAGGAAGCCTATTAAATCCCAAAAGCTTCTCAATGAGGATATAACAATTTGAAGTCAATTTCAATTTAATCAACTTTGAGAATTATCTCACCCTATTCCCTAAAGTTTTGCTACTTTAACATGATTAATTCCAGTTAAGATGATATAGCAAACTGCAATAAAAGGCTCTAACGTCTCCTTGTGACCATGTCCATTTAAAGAAGAAATATATGAACCTAGGGAAAAGCAAGACTTGTTCCTTCATCAGAATACTATAGCTTAGTATTATATCTGAACTAGTCTATCATCATATTTATCCATTTAAACTCAATCCCAGAGGCTGCCAATCCATATCCACAGGTTATATTAAACTGCAAAATTATTACCGAAAACTTTCTGTGATAAGTAACTGCCATGCTAAACCTGCAACTTAAATCATGGTATGCTATCTTTTAACTTTCACAGCATACTTAGAGCCAGCTGCCACTAATATCTGACAGGTGAACTTAAAACTGTTTTTTTAAAAAAGCGTTTTCTTAAAAAAATATTTAAAAATGCTTTATTTTTAAAAATAAAAAAACTTGGTTGAAACATTGATTTGTAGCACTCAAGTTAATTTAGTCTCTACAATGTAAACAGGCATCTGGACACAAGGAATTTGGGCCATTATCTTTATTCAAGCTTTATGTAGCTTTTTCAGTTCACATCACTGTTCATCATTCAGTATTCCCATATGCTTATTTGTAAGGAAGTCCAGAAAGGGAATGTTACAGATAGCTTGGTGAATGTTCATCATTGTGATCTCTCTTGGAATCCTGCAGGGAGAAAATGCAGATGGAATGTAACCTTTGAAGCATTTATATGCTACTTGATGAAGCAACAATAACAACATTTATAAGGAAGAAGTCCATCTTTCCCCAGCCTCATGTCCTCCAGATTTGTTGGATTGTACTTCCTGTTAGTCACAATGAGCAGCAGATAAAGGGATTTGTGTTCCAATATTTCTGGAATATTAGGCAAATAAAGACAGCTATACATGTGCTTTAAGCGCACTGTAGTTGTCATAATAAACAATTGCTTCAATTATCATTAAATAACTATTTCAGCTTCCTTACAATTATATAAGCCAGTGCTGACGAACCTTTTCAGCACCGAGTGCCGAAATACGACCGTGCGCACACGTGCCAGAAACAGGAAGAGCAGCCGCCCAGTGTGCATACGCATGTGCGTGTGAACACCAGCTGGCTGGCGCACTGAAGAGCAACAGGCAACGGCTCGCGTGCCCAGAGAGATGGGTCTGCATGCCACTTCCGGATCCATCATGGATATAAGCAGTACTTTATTTAAAAAAATCCTACATAGACATAGTTTAAAAATTATCTACATATTTAAAACAGATCATATAGGAATGTAAAAAGTTATTTTATATCAAGTAAAACTATTCTGTATATCAATCCAGTTATATTTTACTTCGACTGATAACAGATTCTTGGAGTTTGTCTTTTCTTTCATTTGCCCCGATTCCTTACCAATTAAAAATGAGGGATGAACCTAGGAATTTCTACATGGCAAGCAAGTTATTTATACTGAGCAATAATCCTCTTCAAGCCATTTCTGAGGATGAAATCTGAAGATGTTGTTCAGCACTTCCATATTCCCCTGCTTTTTTTTCTCTCTCCTATGGCCAGTGAAACCATTGTTAAGAACCGCTCAGTTTCAAAAACAGCTTCTAACATAATATTGGGAGAGGGTAGGATAAAATCCCAAACACAAAACGGTTGAGCCAAAACATGGAATAATACCTTGTCCTGCTCAGGAGTGTCTTGGAAATCTACTATATTTAATAGTGCTATTCAATTTTAATATATTTTCTCTAAAGCAGGGGAATGCAGAATCTGGATTTGTACCTCATTTGCAGTTCCCAGAACACAATTTGGCAATCAAAATGACAAAACAAGGGTGGGAATATTGGAAGATATGAACTTTGGAGAGAACTTTATAAAATGGATAAGACTGATTTATACTTCACAGAAAGTACAAATAATGGTATAAGAATGGTATAGGGTCCCCTGCTTTAGCTGGGGTTGGACTAGAAGACCTCTAAGATCCCTTCTAACTCTGTTATTGTCAGACTTCGATGCTATCTCAAAATAAATGAATTTCCAAACTGCCAATCTTTAAGGAAATCTTTTCTTTAATTGAGCACAGCCACCGGATCATGACTCGATGCGGACAAGACTGACCTTTTGCCCCCCAATCCCCAAATCTCTGCTTCTCATTGGCTATGTTCCAAGTCATTCTTCAGACTTCTTGTTTCGTCATTTCCCAGGAATGTCTCCCCCACATCATTTCCACGACAACCCGACTTCAAAGGGATTTAGCAGGGAAAAGTTCAGAGCTTATCTCCCTTCTGCTCTCTATGCCAGCGTCGAAGCGCTGACAGTTATTCTGTTAATTGTCATTGAAGATTTAACAAAACTCAGTGAGATACAAAAAGGAATAAGCGAGGGATGCCAACTATATTTTGTTTATTTTAGTGCTATGGTGCTAGAATGCAGTATTGCAGGATAATTCTGCCGACTACCAACAGTTTGATTCTCACTGGCTCAAGGTTGACTCAGCCTTCCATCCTTCCGAGGTCAGTAAAATGAGGACCAAGACTGTATTCATCCAATTTTTTCATTTTATCTTATATCTTTATTATTTCAAGTATAGCAATAACAATAGCACTTAGCCTTCACCTTCTACTCTTTCTTTTTATTCTTCCATCTTTGTATTAGTTTTCCTATTATAGCAATAGCAATAGGATTTAAACTTATATACCGCTTCACAGTGGTTTAGTCTTCTGTAAGCGGTTTACCGAGACAGCATATTGTCCCCAACAATATTGTCAACAATATTGACCTTGGAAGAATGGAAAGCTGAGTTAACCTTGAGCCAGTTAATATAGATATATTTAGAATGTAGATGTGAAAGTTAAACAAGTATACCTGTTTCGAGGAGCTGCTTGGTAGCCAATCGCCAGTGCTTCTCTTAGAATGTCACTGACCAACTGTTCTGTAGCCTGTTGTAGAATGCATTTCAGAAATAATGTAAACATGGATGAATGTTTTTAAGTAACAGAGGACATATTTCAGAGTATTTCATACCTCGGAATCCTGTGTATAAACTAAAACGTATTTACCAAAGTAGCCTACGGTGCATTTCTTCAAATTTTTCTACAAATTCAGAAACATAACATTGAGAAAGCTCTGGATCCCATCAAGTAAAATGGCTTCTTCTCTGTTGCTGCTTCTACTCCTACCTGCTGGAATACCATCCCCTAGAAGTTTGTCTACTCCCAGTCATACTTTCCTCTAGAAAAGCTCTAGAAAACTGGTTTCTCCAATACCAGGTGCAAAAGTCCAGCAATTGTCTAACTGCCAACTGTCTAATCCCAACTGGTCAAGGTTGTGGAAATTTTTTATATTTCCTCCTCAGTATATTGTATCTCTGCATTTGGTTTTGTATTAGTACAGTATTGCTGTATGCTACTTTGAACCTTTTGATTTGACAGCTTAATACATTTAATAACCTATAAATTATTATTAAAATAAAGATACCACAAGACACTATTATCCTTGTTCTGCCTGCAGCCAATACGTCTCACAGCTTAAGTTAAACCTCTGTATTTAATTTGTCTATGATTAAGACTACTTTAATACTAAGAATTTTGTTAACAGCTTACCTTTAAAATCATATCTTCTATTATAAAAGCATATATATTTTTGTGAAGTTCCACAGGTGGAAAGGAAATTCCTACCTATAAAATAAGACAATATGTTCATAATTAACTTCACAGACATGTACCTTCTTCAGAAGTTAAAATGACTCTTAGAACCAAGGGTGAAATCCAAATTTTTTCTCTCCAGGTTCTGTGGGCGTGGCTTGATGGACTGGCAGGGGAAGGATATTGCAAAATCTCCATTCCTACCCTACTCTAGGAGAAGGATACTGCAAAATCTCCATTCCCTCCCCACTCAGGCAGAGGTGGTATTTGCCAGTTCTTTGAACTACTCAAAATTTCCGCTACTGATTCTCCAGAACCTGTTAGAACCTGCTGGATTTCACCCCTGCTTAGAACTGGTTACACTTAAAATTCAATAGGCATAGACTGCTATATGTTTATAGAATTGTAGTAGTTGGAAAATTAACATTTTGTTCTGGAACTTTCAAGCTGTATCCTTAATAAGATTGCTGTACAAAATGCAGCCATTCTAAACAGAATAGAATTGGATTATAAAGTGCAAAAATAACAAGTTTTTCTTCTGATGCCTAGGAAGAAATTACACTTCCTAAATATTTCTGATAGGATTCACAAATATTTGAAATAAGATTCTGAATTTGTAAACTGAAGAATCACTAAATACATATAGATTTTGTGTATGTTTGTGTGTGTGCATGTACGCATGCATGAATGTGTGCCTGCAGATAAGATGAATCATATTCAGTTCTACTTTTATCTTCTGGAAGGAATCTCGCAACATTGGCACTTCAGGTGGACTAAAATTATTATAAAAAGGTAGGAGGATTATGGAATTTAAAATTCAACATTTGCTGTTTTTTAGTGCAACTGCAGACAGTCCCCCCTATCCCTCCCCCCTCCCCCTGGTAAGATTTTGAACCAATTACTTTGGGGTCCAGATAATGCTGATTATAGAATAATGTTTGAGTGCTTAGCTGGAGTTTTAAGTCTGATGACTGACAGTTCTGCAGCACGTTTGTGATCCTTATTTCCTAGAACTGAACATTTTTATTAGCAATTGTGAAAGCAATTGGGGAACAAAACTATAAAACAGTATTCAAGATCTTCTAGCTTGTTGAATAAAAAGGTAAGTCAACTTGCAACCATTCTACATATTACATATATTACACTCTAAAAACCTCAAGATAATGAAAAAGTTATTTTTAAAAAATTATTTTATTTACCTGTTGAGCAGTCTCACGCACATACTCAGATGCAGACTGTGGGGCTAAGTAGAATTTGGCCTCTTCTTGTGTCTCTTCCTGTTCCTTTTTAATGTTTATTTTCAGAGGTTCAGTAATGTTAAGAATGTCTACTTCCTCATCATTGTCAGATTCTTGTTTAAGGAGCTGCTCTAGTTCTATAAGCTTTCGACATAGCTCTTCCCCAGTGGTATAAGAAGATGAGCATTCTTTTCCATGTAAAGCAATTAGGCACAGAAGACAGGATTAGCAAATAATTTATATAAAGTGACATGCAGTTCATTGCAAATAAAACAAATTATAGTTGCTACGACCAGAAACCTAAACTCCCAATCTTCTACTATCCATATATCTTTCAAGTTTCAGTCATTATATCAAAAGAGAAACCATTAACAATATTCACAAAAATATTTGTAAATTCAGAATTGTTAGTTTTGGGGTTGAAGAAATGGAGCACACTCAATTCAATAAAGTATGAATGTGTATCTATATCTATTTCTGTTTATGTAACAGTCGCTAATAAGAATATTAATGTTTCTGACAACTATGATGAGCAGTCCATACCACTGGGTTTAAAAAAAAATCTGCTTATCATATTTCCCTTGTTTCAGGACCAAAATAACATTTATTTCATTTATTGATTCATTCATTGATTCATTCACTCATTTCTCTTGAATGTCCCCAGCCAGTCCCAAATAATCAGAAGGACAACCCCCCACTTTATAAGAAAACTGTTAAATATAGCATTTTTATACATGGTCCTAGAAATACATATTGAATCATCCAGGCAAAACTGAGGCTGGCTTCAGGAGACAAAGATGGAAACCTAATCCTATAATTTACTTTCATTCTACAAATTATGCCAAAATAAACCCTTTGAGGTTCTGAAATTTGATTCTTTACCTGGCTCATTGTCTATTTGTGTCAGCACATCCTCTATGGAATCTTCATTCCTAAAAGCTTCTGGATCAGGTGGTGTATAGCCATGGAAGCGACACCAATGTACAACCTCCTTTGTTTTCAGAGGCACAATGCTGTGAAATTTAGGATACTTTTCTATGATTTCTTGAAGGATTTTACGTATTGTCAAGGCTCTTTGCCACTGCAGATGAAAAAAAGGAAGAAGAAAAACAACTTAATTAGAATCAAATATGTATATCTTTCATTATAGTTGCATTATAATCTTCTACATCAATGGATCTGTATGCATTGTAAGAACTAAGTAAAAAACTGTAGATAATTGTTATCTCCCAGATGGCAACCAGGTGATCCTCTACTGCTTAATTGCTGCTGGTCAAAGTCACATACAGCAACAATGGAACCTGTGTGCGTATATCTATGTGCACATGTGAAATTGTTCCAAACAGATAACTTCTGTTAATAGATGATTTCACAGTTCTAGCCATTCTATGTTTTGTCTTTGTGGCTCTAAAATAGGGTACTTCTAATAAATAAGAACAAAAATAACATCAAAGAAAGAGTTAATACTTCGATGCTTCTAAAAGCTCAGAAATTGAAAACTTTTAGGGAAAATTCAATTTTTTGTTTTCAGTTTGTTACATCAGAGGACAGTACAATCTATCCTGGAATGCTTCCTCATTTTTCATCACAGTGCTCGCAACAGAAGGGTCATTTTGTCAAGCAGAAAAGAAACATTAAAAGCAAATTAAAAAAGCCTTGGAAGTAGGACAACATAAAGGCAACATTGGAAAAAGTTGCTATTTTGTCACACAAAAGATCTGGATTGTACAATGTTAAGACAGAACATGGAATTTTAAGTTGAGTTACATTTTGTTTAGTCAAGTATTAGTAAATCTCTGCATAAATGGCTATGTATTAAATGCAAGAGATAATTTTTAAATAATTTCTAGGGATTTTAAAAATCACCAGATTTCTGAGGGACAGCTTTCAGTCATACATTTCCCTGAGGCTGAAATTCAGCTTTATAGAATATATTAAAATTACCTCAGCAGCTCTTCGTTTTCCAATATTCCAGGTATAATATTGTTCCACAGAACTGGCACAGAAAGGATTGGCATCCTCAGCTAAAAAAACAAAGAAAGGAACATCAAAAGCTTTAGATTTTTAATAACAATGGAAATTAATATATTATAAGGCAAGCTATTTCTGAACATCTTCTCAGAACATACCATAGTTTAAATCAAAATATGCTGCTTATCAGGAAGTACCTTATGGAAAAAATTGAAAAGCCTTTTACTCTGATTTAAAACAGATACTAAATTAGAAAGAACATTAAGAGGTATTACCATAGTTATTTGAACAACAGGTAAATATCAAGGGTGGTATTTGTGACATAAGATAATTTTTTAGCCTTTTGGAACTACTCAGAAAGATGGAAGCCTCTGAACATAAAAAACATCTGAGAAACAAATTACTAGAAATGATTTGGAGAAGGGAAAAGCAGGAGCCTGAATGAACCCCAGTGTGAAAACTAGGCACATTAATTGGTTTGTTTATTTCAGGAATACCAAGTCTCAGCATGTAAATGCCAATTGCTATTAAACCCACCTATTTTATGTATTTTCGTGTGGATGAAAATAAAGTCAGCCATAGCTGAATAACTCAGCAGCTATTTCCTCATAGTTAAGATACAGCTCATCTACTGCAAAAATCAGGAGTTGGATTTGGGCTAGGAGCCCGATTCAACTCTCTCATAATGTATTTTTTTTACAGAGAATATATGATTATGTAGTGCTTCATATGTGATTTCAAAAAGGTGCTTGGAACACTTAATGCTGCAAATGTAATAATACATGTCTGTAATCTTTAATTTGTAATCTCTTTGAAGCTACATTATTTCTTAAGCTGACCTGGCAGCTACAGAGGACAGCTATCTATTCTCAAGGAAAAAGAAATGATTGCATCAAACAGATACGGTTGGGTGCTAGGTTTGTGCTCCTGCATATTCTAAACCACCTTCTCGAAATCACTTAGAAAGCACTGCATAGCCCACTAGACTACAGAAAACTATTGTCCTTTTAGTTGTCCTATATGTTAAAAAGCAGATCAAAGTGGGAGAGGAATCTCTTTTAAATCCTTTGAGTCGGCAGGACTGGTGTCATGGATCAGATTAAACCTGAGTGTGCAATTGCAACAGCATTTAGGTTTATACTGTGCCCCATAGTACTTTACAACACTCTCTGGGTGCCTTGCATTATAGAAGCATTATTTGCATATAGCCCTCAACAACCTGGGTCCTCTTTTTACGGACTTCAGAAGGATGAAAGGCTGAGTCAACCTTGAGCCCCATCCAGATCAAACTACAGGCTGGGGGCAGATTTTGCCTGCAATACTGCACTGGAAGTTTTGATTTCAGAAATACTAGTTTCCCATTCCCATTCCTCATAAAGAGGAGGGTTAAAAATGCTAGACTGTCTCTGGTGTCTTTCAGAATATCAGCACAAATGGGAACACTTTCTGAATGCTTGTTATCCTTCAGAATTTAAAAAAAACACAATACAAGCTTTGTTAAGTGGAACAAGAAAATGGAAATTAGTGTTCTGACGGTTGAAATGGAAATCAATCAGCATTATTGTAATCCATTGCCCTCATGTACACTAGCCAGAATATGACATTTAGCCAAACATTTCTTAAAAATGCTGAAGGAAAATATATGGAACTCAGCTAGCAGAAATAATCTTGAAATGAAAAAATGGATATATAAAAACAGGAAATTGTAAGAGATTTTCCCATGGTTAAAATTTTCCCATGGTTAACATGTGGTCAAAGCCACATTATATTTCAAGCATTCTAAAGTTTGATATATTTAAAATTATCAAACTTAATGTTTACAGTTTTACACACTTAATAAAGTTTGTTGGGTAAATTCTGAGTAATCCTATGATTACAATCCTAATTGCTTCTTATGCGACCCCCTTAGGGTGCAAAATATTCCTGTTGCCCTCTTAGTGTCTAACACCCCTCTTGATAATGCAAACATCTTTCATTAGGGGGCAGTTTCACCCATTTTGAGAAACACTGCTCTATAGCAATTGCAGGCAGATGGACCAATGGCCATACTTGGTATGAATTGAGCATATTACACCAAAAAATGACTGTTAAACAATGTTTTCATTACTTGTCTCAGCAATTAATGGAATGTTCTTCACAATTGCTGTCAAAAGTTGCGGGAGATTTTCTAAGTATTCTTCCCTGTAGAAAATAAAGAGGTGGCATTTAATATAGAATTTATTTATAGCATAGTACAGTGCTTTTTACACTGCTTCTACTGTACAAAGAACATGCATGTACAGATACTGCCTATAGAGCACAAACGGAAGTCTCTGTGTACATAAAGACTGTGATGCTTGGACAAACATTTTCAAACCTTTCTCAGCTTTTACATTTTGGAAGTTTATATTTTACATTTTTTTCCAAGGGGAGGATAGTGTTAAGCTTACACAAACTTGATATGAAATAAAGAAAAAAGTTGTATTATAAGCTTCTACTAAGCTTTTTTTTTAAATAGGAAATTATGCTGTCGTAATTTGGTTTGCAATAAAGGGAGGAGTCTGTGAGGATCATAATAGAAGTTTCTCACCTCAGGTCTATAGCTGGATATAACTATTTATATAGCTTGATATGGCTCTTAAAGTTTGAGACAAAGATAAATCCGAACAAACAAGGTAAGTAGTTTCTATGGAGCCAGTGCTGCATCTAAAATGCAGTATATCCACTGCAACTAATGTGCAAACAGAGCAGTGTAATTTTAATGTGCATCTATAAAGTATTTCATACCTAGGCGTTAATATACTGTGATCTATGCAATATCCACTATAAAATCTCAACTGCTTGTATTGAACAAAATTAAAATAATTCTCTTGAAGAAAGTTCATTTCAACATTAATAGGGGTGAACTCCCAACAAATTCAAGTGGCTTATAAAAATATAACCCATATTGTTTACAACAGCCATTGCTCCCTGTAGTAAGTTATTTTAACTTCACAAAAATAATTACCCAATGGAATAATTTCCAAGTTCTGAACTTTCCTCTGTTTTTATTGTCGCCTGGGCATCCTGAGAGACTGGAATACTGCAGCTCTGCCCTGTTGCATCAGGCTCCAGCTTCACTTTAAAAGATAATAGAATATCTTTAAAAAACATTTGTTAGGCAAATGAAAGGCAATCCTAGTCTACTGTTTCAGACAAGCAGGAAGAAAAACTATAGGTAGTCCTTGAATTACAATAGTTCATTTAGTGACAGTTTGAAGTTACAACTGAAAAGTGCACTGAAAAAAGTGACTTATGACCATTTTTCACACTTACAACTGTTGCAGCATCCCCATGATCAAAATTCAGATGCTTGGCAACTGATTCACATTTATGACAATTGCAGTGTCCTGGGGTCATGTGATTACCCTTTGTGACCTTCTAACAAAGTCAATGGGAAATCCAGATGCACTTAACAACCATGTTACTAAGTTAACAACTGCAATGATTCACTTAACAACTGTCTCACTTAGCAACAGAAATTTTGGGCTCAATTGGGATCATAAGTTGAAGACTACCTGTAATTTTTCTGAAGGAGGAAAGCAGAGATTTTAAAGAGGAATCCTGGCACCACAATAAAGTATTATTTATTGACTTATTTATCAATCAATCAAATTTTGGAACCATCTATCTCCCTCACAGAGTAGTAACTGTAAGTATAAGTGGATGGCAGGAAAAAAAAAAGTAAAAGTCTACATTTCAAAACCTATTTTTTTTTGGGTTGCTGCTTTTTGTGTAGTAAAACTGCCTTAGTAATATCTTTGGTGTCCAAGTGAAAATACTGTTATATTTTTAGAGATGTCCAAAAAGATTTAATGATGTCAATACCTTCATCAAACTGAATGCTTTATCACCTGAATCCTGCTTCACTTGCATAATCATACTGTGGAACAGTGATAGCTAATAAAAAGCATTTGAAAGGGACATTTCCATTAAATGCAAAGGTGCAAGTGAAGTAACTTTTTTAGCTTAGATAACCCTGGCTATCTGAGCAAGTAGTATGCAGGCATATTCAGTTCATTGGTGGTGCCAATGAAAATATTTGCAGAGGTATATGCAAATATACCAGAGAAATCCTCTGAAGCAGCCACATCAAACCCTTTAATGCTGTAATGTTTCAAGAAGTGAGACTCCGCTGATATCTCAAAGGTGCTTTTTTTCTTCAAAAGGCTATTGGACTGTTTTTTCTTTGCAAAAAACCTTTGAGACAACTATGATCTAGATAATTAAGAATCTCCACAGGCATTTATATTCTGCTGATACCAATGCACTTTGCAAAGTATGCCTTCTGAATGCTTTGCACAATCCCACTGACTAATTTCCCAAAATATAACTATTACTGTACTTTTCGGAGTACAAGACACACTTTCCCCCCCCTAAAAGAGGGTGGAAATGTTGGTGCATCTTATACACCGAATACAGCAATTTTTGGCCTCCGGAAACCCCGCCCTGCACGTCCTGTTTCCGCCAAAAACAAGCCCATTTTTCGCAAAAACGGATTTTGCAGAGGGTTTGGGAGGCCTGCAGAGTGCTCCTGGGGTTGGGGAGGGCAAAAACGCGATGCATGGTGGGTTTGGGAGGCCAAGAACGGGCCTGTTTTTCGCAAAAATGGGCCCCACAGAGGTTTGGGAGGTCTGCTGAGTGCTCCTGGGGGCCGGGGAGGACAAAAGCTTTTTTTTCTTGTTTATCTCTTCAAAATTTTGGTGCATCTTATACTCCGGTGCATCTTATAGTCTGAAAAATACGGTATAAATTTCTTATATATGTCATGAATAGTGGCTAATCATATAGTCATTTCCAAGGCTTCATTATGACAATGGGCAATTCTACCTTTTGTAACAGTCACTTCAGGAGTGCTTGGGGCAACTACATTAGTTGTAGTCATGGGTGTAACAGCAGTTGATTTGCTGGAAGAAACCGACTGTATCACTGAAAGAGAAAAGGAATATTGGTAATGTAGACAAATATGCTTCACTTTTAACACTTTTTCATTTTTGTTGCTAAATTACTTCAATAATTTTAGCAGAAAATGATGTAACAATGGCTTTTTGCAACAGCTCTATACATATTATCTGAAATTTTTTTAAATTTGTTCTTTGTAAAACATTTTTTCTGATTTTACCTGGATCTCACAAACCAGGTTCTCACTATTATGCATAATCTGGTGTTGGTTTTAATAATGATAATGCTGGACATTAAAATTGTAAGTGTGTATTAGTTATCAGTGTCAATAGAATATGATATGTACGGCATCAAATATTGTGCTCCAGACAATTTAAAGTCTGCTCGCCACTAGAGCCAAAGGTTTCCAATTCTTTGCAGTGCAATAGATCCAGAAAGCTTAGAAGAGAGAAGCTTGCAATATTGAAAAAGAGATTTAGGCAATGTCTTGTCAACTACATCCTACCTTTGTTCACAGGCATCAGTATAGTTTGGACTCCTCCAGAAGCATTGCTGACACCAAGTTGTTTGAGTTGGCTGGGTACTGTCAAAACAGCCTGTTGTGGGCTGTTCTGGTTGGAGTGGATCTTTAGCAACCCTACATTAGAAATGTGTTAAAATGAATCATTTCTTCCTTTCACATAGAACAAAGAAAATAAAAAGGAAGCTCTCCTATCTATGTATCAATATGGAGAACTGTCTAGCACAGTGCTAGATCTCTCCCCTCCTATCAAGACCAACTGGAAATGGCCCTAGTGGAGAATTACAATATCATACCTTCCACGAGCCCCCAGCCCCCAAAATATGTCCAAAACTGGTATTAAGGGCTACTGAGAGATCCAAGAGAATCACCAGGGATGCCTTATGTATGGCATCCTTATATCCTTATATATGAATGACCATTTCGCACAAGGTAAGATCTGATTATTTAACAAAATGAGATTGAGGTTTTGCTTCTCATCCAAGAAGCTAAAGAAGCTGAAACTTCTTCAAGGAAACACAAAATCCAGTTGCCTTTTGAAAGAGTACCTTTTGCACAACCCTGACCTGGAGATCTGAGAATCTCCCTACACATTTGACTCAATTGATTTCACTCTGTTTCCTATGTAGAGCTTGTACTGCTTAAACTCCAAGACTTTCTCAGAAAACCAATGGGCTTTCCAGGATCCACATTCAAGAGAAAGTCAATTTTAGTATTTAAAAGATTGCAGAATCTGGTGGAACTGCATGAGCTGATATTTGGGGAACAACATGTCCAATTAACAAAATGTTATATGTAGTATTCAACTAGGCATCAATCTTGTTCAAGAATTGATGCTTGGGCTTCTACAATATTTTTTGAATCAGTTAACCCAAGTAAAGCTTGCACCCGTATATATTTCATATATACGTCATGCACCAGAGGGTTTTGTGTTTAGTTTGGATAAAAGCATCCCATTGACTAATTTCAATCTTTTAGTCCTAGATTACCTGATACTGCAGTTTTCGTGGATGCTGGTGCTGGGGTGGTGACCCAAGAAGCAATGCTTACAACTGTGGAGGAACTTGTTTTATTAGGTGCAACTGATGCTGCTTGCCCAGGATTGGCAACAACCTGCTGTTGCTGCCCAGATGCCTTCACAATGGGGCCTGCAGATGAAAGGGAGCTAGAGCTTGCACTGTCTGCTTGCTGTGTTAAAAAAAACAGGAAGAGTGGAAAATACATTTTTCAGATTAATGATCCAATAAAGAAAATAAAAGAAAAAAATATTCTAAATTATGAATTAATTATTCATTTTTTCAATATTTTTCAATTAGTCAATATTTTTAGTTGAGAGTTAGAAAAGCAAGGGGATCCAGTTCTATTGCATATAACATTTACAGTATTTTTGTAGTGCATTGTCAGTTTCAAGATTTCATACACGTCTCTACTTTTTACTAATAGCACCCCTCCATTTCCACCACAAGCCCATTTTACAAGAGTGAAAAGGGAGTATTTTTTTCTTTTTTCTGATAACATTTTTTGCATAGGTTTAGTGCCAGGACAGTCTGAAGTCTTCTGATGCAATCATCTCAATTAAGCTATGCAGGACTACAGCAAATTACAGCCTGCATGGGAGCTTGTCTGGGAACCCCAACAGACAGTTTCTGGAGTACCATGAACAACAACAACAAAAAAAGGATGAAACCCAAATAATAAAATATAAAAACATTTTCTATAAACATAGTACGAGGGCAAGTACTGCAAAGGTCTCTTGTAAATGCTAACTTTTTTTTCACACAGCAGGATGGAGCCTTAACGCTGAAGTCATTTTGATTTCCAAGGAGTAAGAAACTGATTCTTCCCTTGCATAATAACTCTGCAATGCATTTGAAGCCTGATGTGCAAATCAGCCAATACTGGACCTCACCTGGGGAACACCATTTGATGCAAGTGTCACAGCTGAAGTTGTTGCTGCAGTGATCATCCCGCCTGATACTCTTAGCACAGTGGTGCCGGGTTTTGAGAGCTGTGATGATGCCGGTAATGATTTCAGTGTATTGTCTGATATTTTCATGAGTGAAGCTTGCCCGCTGGAAGCTGCCTTTAAATTTGTAAATAAGTTAAAATAGAAACAATATTTTTATAAAGCAGTTAGTACAACTAGTAGGAGAATAGAAAAGATACAAACATTAATGATGTTTTAAACAAAGCCTCAGTATATATGCAGGTGTTCAAGTTTGCTACATCTTCTAGATTATAAAGATATTGTCAGGAACAGTTTGTGAAGAATCAGTGAAAATTGTTATGGAGGGTTAAAAGTGCTGGTTTGTATCTCAGGGTACTTTTTTTGAATGCCACGTGATATTAAAGCAGGGATAAAAGAAACATTCTAGGGCTGTGTTAAAATTGAATCCTTTCCTTTTCAGTCAAAATAGAAATCACATAACAAACGTATGTTATGAACTATGTATTTCAAATGAAATACAGATTTGGAAGATTAAGAATAAGATCCAAGAGTCAGAAAGGACATTAGTCGTCAATTCCCTACATCGTGATGGATCTATGAGCCTTTCTGATAATGATCCTCCATTCTGTGTTTGAAGATTTCCAGTGAAGAATTACCTGTTCACTTTTCAGTGTGTTCCACTGCCTAACAGTTCATATAGCTAGGAGGTTTCTCCTAAAATCTAAATTGAACATGTTTCTTTGCACTTTTAACCCATTTGTTCTGGTCCTGCACTCTCAGTAGAGAAGAAATGTACTTCCTTTTTACGTGCCAGCTCTTTAGATATTTGAAGGTAATAAGGTTTCTTAGCCCAGTTTCTTCCAACCTGGGGTTTTTATTTATTTATTTATTTATTATTTTATTTTATTTCTATACCGCCCTTCTCCTGCGGGACTCAGGGCGGTGTACAGCCGAGATAAAGCATTGCCTATAAAATTTAAAAACAGTTTAAAAAACAATTAAATAATTTTGGCCCAAGATTTAAAACAACCCAATTAAAACCGAATTCAATTAAAACTGAGAGGATGGGATCAAGCCAGCCCGGCTAGATGGAATAAGTGTGTTTCCAGGGCCCGACGAAAAGTCCGGGTTCTTTAAATGTGTTGAACTATAACTCCCAAAAGTTCTAGTCACCAGATTGGGAAAGCCTGGACTAATCTTTTGCCCATCTGTCTTTCTACTACAAATTTCCTTCCTCATATTCTTCTTCCATTAAGGGGCAATTTGGAAGGAACATTTTTTACTATTGAAAAACTTCATGAGAGGAAAAGGCTCAGCACGGCTTTCTCCTTCTCTATTGTCCATTGTTCAAACCATTGGCCTGTCTTGATTCTTTTTCAAGCATTTTCATTTGAAAATAGAAATGGGAGAGTTCAACCCAAATATACTACATAAATATCTCACGGAGAACATAAATATTTTATGGATATATGGTTTTTAATATGGGTAACAGCAAAAATAAAATAAACAAAACCAAAACAACTTTTCAGAGTTTTTCATTCTGTTTCTTAAGATCTGTCTGTCTTGCCAAACCAAAGAATGTATTAAAATTAACCGTTCAGGCATACAGATTAGTATTTACACATTATTGATGATGTACATGTATATATTAAAATCAATCATTCAGACATTTATTTTATTAACCAGGCTTCTAAAAGATACATTAATATATTACCATAAAATACAGAAGTGACTTGCTACTGAATGCAAAACAGCTACACTTTGCATTAAGTCCTTCAAGAGTATCTAGAACAACCAGCATCTAAATCGAAGCACCACAGTTACCTGTGCAAATAAGGTGGCAGTTTTGTGTCCAGTTATAACTTTCAGAGCTTGCTGTCCTTGGGAAGATGATGTTCCAGCACTTGTATTACCTTGGATAACAGTCCCTGATGTCACCTGTTTTGCTGTAGTCTGGTGAGGTGGCTGGCCAACTAAAAAAGTGCCCTGCACAAAAAAATTAATATCTGTATTGAAGACATAGTAAGTAAGAGCCATTGTCCCTTAAATTCTGAAACCCTAAACCAGTGACGGCGAAGCTTTTTGGCACTGAGTACTGAAACTGGAACGTGCATGTGTGTGCCAGCCAGCTGGTCTTCCTGTTTCCGGGGCGTGCATGTCAGCTGGTCTTTGGATTTCCAGCGTTCCAGCACAAGCGAAGACCAGCTGGCCAGTGTGCATGTACGCACCGGAAACTGAAAGAGCAGCTGGGGACGGCCCGCGTGCCCACAGAGAGGTGTCTGCGTGCCACCACTGACCCGCATGCCATAGGTTTGCCAACACAGCCCTAAACTGTTTTTCTTTTTTAGTTCCACTTAATATTAGTGAGGGTCATATCACAATACCTACATTTAAGTAGTGTCTATCAGATTCTATTTTTAAAAACTTAAAAAATTATGCCAGTTAACATAGCAAAAAATAGCAGCCTCAAATCACTTAGACAAATGATCGCTACCATATATTAAACAAAAGAGCACTGCGGCACCTTACTGTGATTTATGGCTTCCATGGTAACTGATAGACCCCTTGCATCCCTTTCTTAAAACATTCAGATTCTTTCAATTTTAAATTGAAAGCCAGCATGCTATCAGCCCCCTAGCCTCAACTTCATTTCCATGAATGCTTCTGTGCTCTCTTGTAAAGAAAAACAGTCAGTGGTTGAAGCATGTAGGTAGTATCTGCTTGCCTGGTAATCATAAAATGGGGAACTGGTAGGAAGCATCTTCGTAGGAAGCATCCTCTTCCTTTGATAGAGGATGCCTGCTGTAAGTCATCATTATGGAAATGAGGACAATGTGAATAATAGAAGTGTTATTTGTAGAGACAAGGACCAGGAAAGCCAATTCCTACCAGTGTTTTTTAAACTTTAATTAGAGTATATTCTAGCCCAGCTTTCTCTGTCCAGATACATTGCAGTACCTCCACCATCTTCTCCAGTCAACCTACCTACCTACCTACCTACCTACCTACCTACCTACCTCTATCTCTGTTCAGCACATCAGTTTAGTTTAGTTTAGTTTAGTTTAGTTTAGTTTATTTGATTTATATACCGCCCTACTCCCGAAGGACTCAGGGCGGTGAACAGCCAAACAATAAAATACATAGATACAAAAAATTTAAAAACCAGATAAAATCGAATTAAACCATTTTGGCCCAGACAAATTAAAACACCCCAATAATTTAAAAGCAGATTAAAATTTACATATTAAAAAGAGGGAAAAGATTAGACCAAGCCCGCCTGGTGGAATAAAAAGGTCTTCACAGCGCGGTGGAAGGTGCGCAGATCCGGGATCCTCCGTATTTCCGGGGGGAGCTCATTCCAGACAGTAGGTGCCCCCACAGAGAAGGCTCTCCCCCTAGGGGCCGCCAGTCGACATTGTTTGGCTGACGGCACCCGGAGGAGTCCCTCTCTATGAGAGCGTACTGGCCGGTGGGAGGCTATTGGTGGTAGTAGGCGGTCCCGTAGGTAACCAGGTCCTAAGCCATGGAGCGCTCTAAAGATGGTAATCAAAACCTTGAAGCGCACCCGGAAGACCACCGGGAGCCAGTGCAGCTCGCGCAGGAGAGGTGTTACATGGGAGCGCCATGTCGCTCCCATTACCACCCGCGCGGCCGCACTCTGCGCCAGTTGGAGCCTCCGGGTGCTCCTCAAGGGGAGTCCCATGTAGAGAGCATTACAATAGTCCAGGCGGGAGGTGACGAGGGCATGAGTGACCGTGCGTAAGGAGTCCCGATCCAGAAAGGCGAATCAGGCTGGACCTGATGAAAAATCCTCCCGGTCACGGCCATCAAATGCTCTTCTAAAGACAGCCGTGAGTCCAGGAGGACGCCTAAGTTGCAAGCCCTCTCCGTGGGGGCCAATGATTCACCCCCAATAGTCAGTGATGGTGCTAACTGACTATATCGGTACGTCGGAAACCACAGCCACTCGGTCTTGGATGGATTGAGCCTGAGCCTGTTCCTCCCCATCCAGATCCGTACGGCCTCTAGGCACCGGGACATCACTTCAAGGGCATCGTTGGGGAGAAGAATATTGATCCACTTGTGGTTATCTAATGTTTATGTTAACAACATTTCTGTATATATTTGTATTGTGGACTAACCTGTGGGGTTTGTTTGAGGATATAGGATGTGTAGGTGAGATGCTGAGACACACCACTGCTTGCACCCTGCGTTCCGCTACTTCCTGAAGAACCTAACTGCTGATCTGGAACATCCGACAAGTTAGACAGTTATAAATATGGCAAAACCAAATCCTATTTATTTTAGCTGTACTATCAGATTACCCGCTAGGTACAGAAAGGTATCTACTCTCCAGAAACTCAATCCCAAATTCAGTAATTAGCTAATAGCAGAAGCTATACAGACTCAACATGGATTGCTATAATATTTAATTGAACAGAAAAAGGAAGTTTATACATCCATTCATCCCTCCGACTCATAGCAATCTGGTCTATGTTTATATAACATTTCTATCTGACCTGAGAATGATTGATTTCCACCTTGCTAGCAGAGGCCCTTCCTTTCATAAAGCATTTTTAATATATCTCTGTTTCAGAGAACGCAATCTGCCTAAAAAAACCTGGAAATTCCTGTAATATCCAGTTGCACTGTGATGTTATAGGCTAATGAAACATTTGCAAGAAAACCACCAAGCTCAGAGAGCACCAAGGACTCCACCCATTATTTGTCACCACATTTAATATGCTACTTTTCTTTTGTGTAATACTAACTGGCATTATTTGTGGCTCGCAAAATAGCTCCTTGAGGTATAAGTAGCAATTTTCCTTTCCCAGATGGGTTCTTGCTATTTGTAGTAAGGTACAATTTTGTGCCAGGAGGTAGGTTCGCCAAATTGGCTAAATTAGTGGCTGGTAATTGCAATGTTGCCATAACTAGAAGGAAAAGAAAAAAAAATTATCAAGATTTTCAGAGACCACTCTCTTGCAACAAAACATTAAGTCCCACAGTAGTATTCTTCTAAAAATGTTCCAACTTCTTTCATCTTAGCTACAGTTATGTAATATTTATGTTTGGGTTCTTTTACTTTTTTATTATTGGATTTTATCCTATTTTGTATTTATTTGACTGAAAATTATGTTTTGGTAAAAATGAAACGTGATATATACTCATTAGGGATATGAGAGCCATACCCTTTTTGAGAAGAGAATTCAGTCCCTAATTAGCTACAGAAAAATAAGAATCTAGCTGCTATTATTCAATATAGTGCATACAGAGGGAAGGCTTTAAGATGGGTTGTAGTTAATAAGGAAAGAATGTACTTCATGGAATTTCCTTGTGTAAACAGAACACTTAGGAAAGTGGAATGAAAATCAGCAGAATTTCTGAAGATGAAGGAAGTTACAAAAAGAAAGACTACATGATATTGTACAATTGTACATATTGTACAAGTGCAATATGGTTGTACTGAACGAAAAAGAGGCCGACAATTCAACAGTTTACTGTATTACAGCATTATATGGTAAAACAAATCAAATCAAAATCTGGATACACATTCAGCTAACAACTTTTCAGTATCAGCAGAACACACATCATTGGAGAAATAGATTCTCTTCTCTATTCTACTTGCCAGGACATTCTGCCCTGAAATTTGTCTGTGAGTTGACAAATTTTCTGGAGAGGATTTATTGTACAAGGATAAGAGCAAAGAATATGAATGCAAGTCAGCTTATAAACCTTTAAATGTAGTCCACAGCTTTTATTTATTGGGTTTTCGACAGTAATCTATAGCATGGTAGAACTACATGGTGATGATTCATTTGATGCATCCTATCCAGACCAGGTTATCCAACCTAGTGTCCCCTAGTGGTGTTGAAATTATAGGCAACTCTGGAAGTTAGTATTCAATATATCTAAAAAAACTAAATCGGATATGGGGTGCAGTTTTATGATGCAAATCTCACCAGAATATTCAATAACTTATTTTATTGTTGTAATTAATTAATTAGGTTCATGATCCAGTTAGCTGGGCTATCTTGGCTGATTTCAAGAAACTAGGGCCACTACTTGATTAATACTTAGGAGAAAGATAAACAGAACATGCAGGTTATCGACTAGCTTTGGAAGCTGAAAAAGCATCCTGGAAGAACGCAGCAGCCAATCACGTGGATTTATCTTTAAAATTCCCAGGAATAGAGCTTAACATGAAGCAGATATTTTTAAACTCATTCCTTAGCTCCATACCATCATGTTTGACATTTAAAAAAGTAAGCCCACTTTACCTGAACCTTGGGATCCAGTTTTTGGAGTTCCTGTTGATGGAACCTGAGCTTTTGTTAAAGTCTGCACAGGCTGAGCAACGATGGTTCCTCCTCCACTACTCACAATAGCTTTGGCGACTCCTTGAGTTACAATTTGTTTTCCACCAGCTGTCTTTGTGACTGAAGGGCCTGATTTTGCCACAAGTATTTGTCCTCCACCAAGGGCCACAGCTTGTTTGACCGACGATGGTAAAGCAGACCCAACTGGAACGCTAACAATCTAGAGGGGGAAAAAATAAAAATACACACAACATAAATATACACACAAAGCTAATGTTATTTAACATCAAGCTAAATAAAAGCGATATTCTGTCAAAGGTTGGATCTGAAGTGGAAATTGTGTGGAACTGAGGCAAAACTCAGGATAATTATGCCTATTTAGAAAAAAAACCCTTCTCTGGTGCTAGTTATGTACTAATTCTACTGCTCAAATAATTAGCAGCCCCAAGCAGTTAACAACTTCTAAAATACTAAAGAGAAGGATCTTTACAGATGATTTAGATAAAGAAAAAGACTGTTCATTTCCATGTACTCCTTTTTATCCTAGAGCAGTGCATTTTAATTGTTTTATTACAAATGCTGAGAAAAAGAACATAAAACAATTAAAATAACCCAATATTTAACTGTGTAGCAAGATACTCAATGATTCCTTTCAATATTTCAAATCCATGTAATTTTTCGTATTAGAATGAGCTTAGTAAAAATGCTGTGAGATCAGAAATAGCTTAAGCCAGCATGTAAGAGATAAAAGGGAAACCAGTAAGCATCTTTGGGAACTAAGCTCTGTAATTGCTGAAAAAGCCAACTCCTTTCCTCCTCAACTTGATCTTGCTGATATTCCAAGAAACATCTTACTGGAAAATCTCAATTCTAGGAAGGTGAGTTTGTGAAAATATAGCCTTTGAATAACTGGCTGTCAAGTTATTTTGATAAAAAGATGACAAGGCTAGAGAACTATCCAGAAACCAGTGCATATTTCTCAAAACCAGTGTTAACATCTAGTTTTCTAAGAGGCAGCTTCTCTAATGAAATTCTAACAATTACATAATACACATGAAAGCACACAAGCAAGGAAAGGGGGGAAAAGAAAATGTTACCCAAAGAAAAACAATTTGAAATTAAAGTTGGGCCTAGTGTATCAAATAGTTGAAGGCCGTGATAACGAATGAAATACAATGATTTTTCCTCAAATTAATAATGTTATAATTTAAAGAACAAAATAGGTATTTGAAGGGTATTCCTATCCATTTAAAGCTTCTGGTATTACCTAGTTGCGTCAAAAGAACAAGAGCATGGAGTAAAGCAATGGAACTGTAGTCACTACAAAACTGCTAGAGTGAAAAAGAAGAAAAAAAATCTGGCACCTTTGATGAAGTAGACCCCTCTCCTGTGCTCACAATCTGTTTCTGGGGTGATAAAGCAATCACATGGCTCCCTTTCACAGTCATGTACTGTGGCAGTGAGGCCTGAGAGGCTGCTCCGGTTGCTCCCACTGGAGAATGTTGCGGCAGTTCTCCAGGCTCTTGCTTTATTATCACCTTCAAATAAAATTAAATGGAAATTAAGACTTTGTGGAGAAGACCTTACCTTGATGGGTAAATGAAGGGTTAAGGAGCTGGCTGGTGCTCCCTACAACAATGCCCATAGAAAGCTCTACAGATCTATTCCCCACCAGCAAGAGAAACTGAGAGGCCCCCAAATGGGAGCAGCTTTGGATCCACTAGATCCTTGGTTTCTTGATTTATTGTGAGATTTGAGGATCAGTTCATCTTCTATGCTGGCTTAGAGGTGATAAAACTAATCCCCACTCCCAACCAGAACATGAAGGAATAATAGTAAGAAAAGGGGAAATCTGTTCAAATATCAGAAAGATGCACACACTTCTTTATTTTGCTTATATTACTCAATTTCCCATTTAAAATTGCATTCTTTTCTTTAGTAAGAAATTGAGTGTCTGTCTGATTCAGCACAAATTCAGGATCAACACAACTGTGCCTTTAAAATCCATATTTAACATTTACAAAAGAATAAAAAATAAAACAACAACAGCAACAATAAAAACACTATAAAGCAACTTTTGAGAAGTTATAATAACTAATGTATTGGTTCAAAAAGATTCAGAGTATCCTTTTACAAAGAAATGAATGTCACACTGAAGCAATATAGCAATAAAAGAAAAACAATATCACTTAGAAAAGCTGGTAGAAAATATGAAACACCCCCTAAATTGCTAGAATACACACTAAAGTATTAACATTTTTTCCTGACAATTGGTTCATCACCTACAAGCATAAAAGAATAAAAAAAAATTTCTCAAATTATTTTTACATTACAAAAGTTGTGATTCTAGGCTCACTTTATGCATGAAAGCCAGATGGGTGATTTTGGGCTAGTCCCTCTTTCACAGCCAATCTACCTCACAGGGGTGCTGTTATAGAGAAAATGGTAGAAGGAAGGAGCATTAGATATACTTGCCACCTTGAGTTATTTATAAAAATAATAAAGGCACTGAGACTCCAGTAAATGTGGGAGAGTCTCTTTTTTGTGTTATTGTTTTCTTTGCAAATTTCACTTAGACCTTTGGTCGGCTTTAGGAAGAGTCCTGCTTCCTATAATAAGATTATTGGTATAATAATGTTTTTATATTTCTGGCCCTTGGAATACATTCACTGACCTAATAAATGAATGTACCAGTGGTCTATACCAAATGTAGAATTTACTTTGATAAATTCTTCAAAACAATATTCACATATGCAGTTACGTTTACAAATGCTTCAGCCTATGTAGCTGAAGATATCCTATGAGAGAGCAAAATGAGAAAGCAATGAAGGAAAACCCCCCACCATTGTCTGGGTAGAAAAGCACAGGAAATAATGTATGTTTGTATGTAATGCCAGAAATCTAAGAAATGAGTAACAACAAAGCCTGTCAAGGATCAAACTCAGAAGCTCTACGGTAACTCTCTTTGTAAAACAAAACTGCACCATGCATAGTAGAGAGAATAATACCTTTGTAAATGTTCCGGGTGCTCCTGTCACAGATTTAGGGCTTTGTACCTTGGAGTGACTCCCAATTGGACAAAGAGGTGGCATGGCTGCGAACAGAGAGTCCTCTTGCTAGAATGAATATACACAGCATGTGGTTAAGCCTAACTATGCAGCCATTTTTTCTTTTTAAGCATCGGATTTCGTTTCAAACAATAGACTTATCTATGGTAAAAATATACAATCTAATTTTCCTTTACTGTTCCAGAGAACAGGAAAACAGGAGATTGCAGTAATTTTCAGGCTGGTGGACGTTCTTGGCTATTAAACAGCCTTGTTTTGGTTAGGTTAGAAAAAATTTAAAAAGAAACTGTTAAGTTGATGACACATAATTGACATGATTTGTTTATATTTAATTAATATTTTTATCTCCAAGGAAAGTGAAAATTACAATTTGAAAGGCACCAGGACTTTACCGAAAACTTTTATGGTTATGTGAGTGACTTTTGGACTTCAAATTGTATGCTTTTGTAATAAAGAAATATAATGAACTACATTAGTTTTAACTATTTTAATTTTCTGTTAAATACAGGTAATCCTTTTGTTTTCACTTATGGTACAACACCCACTGCACAAAAGTGATCTAGTTTCAACTGATTAATTGTTGGAAGTCAATAGTACAGTTGTCCTCAATATAAGATCATAGTTGAGTCCAAAATTTCTGTTGCTAAGACAGTTGTGAAGTCAGTTTTGCCCCGTTTTATGACTTTTCCTGCCACAGTTGTTAAGTGAATCACTGCAGTTGTTAAGTTAGTAACATGGTTGTTAAGTGAATCTGGCTTCTAGATCTGGCTTTCTTTGCTTGTCAGAAGGTCACAAAAGGGGATCACATGACCCTGGGACACTGCGACCGTCATAAACACATGCCAGTTGCTAAGTGGCCGAATTTTGATCACATGACCGTGGGGATGCTGGGAAGGTCGTGTCATAGGTCATAAGACATTTTTTTCAGTGTTGTAACTTTGAACACTCCCTAAATGTATGGTTGTAAGTCGAGGACTACCTGTAAACAGAAACCCGAATGTTTTGGCCAAGTACTAGAAACAATCCATTATGTACAGAGTCTGAGTTTGGGAGAACTCATGGCACACTGTGAGAAAAGTGGTGGAAATTTAAGAAGAGCCAGCATGATATAATAAGAGAGGATAGAGATAGTATTTAACTAGCATTTGAATGAAAAACATTACATGTCCATGGTTGTAGGAGCATGCCTCCTGTTAAAAAGACATAAGAAAGTAAAAGTGGAGCACGTTGCATCCAGATTTATAGGAAACTATTAAAAGACTAGAAAGAAAAAAAAAAGGTTATTCAAATGTCTGTACCTTTACTGTAGAAGTTACAAAACTGGTTCCATGAATTTTTGAGACCGGAGAACCTGTCCCATGAGAGGACTGAGAAGCACTTGTAACTTTACTTGCAGGACTACCTATATTTATGAGAAATACTTTAGTATATAATATACATATATATATAAGTATATAATACTTTAGTATATAATACACATTCGACTATTCTGATACAAGATACATTCGTGTTAATGAGGATCGCAGTACAGTTCTCACAATTGGGTATCCTCTGCCAATGTTGGTACCACGGCTCCCAGAACTATTCTAGCTATGCCAACTTGGAAATTCTGGAAATTGCAGAAAATCTAGCATGGCACAGGCTGGCAGGCATTATCAATAATTTGAATATAGTTTATTGGCAGAAAGTCATTTATTGCCCTCCATATAATAGAGAGAAAAGACGCTCATTCATCACTCAACTTCTTTAACTCAATATCGGAAAACTTGGGAGAAGGCCAGCAACTTCTTGCACATGTACACTGCTTTGCTAGATGCAGCACTAGTGAAAGTCCAATCAGAACAATAAGCGGCAGTCCAATAAGTGGCAGTCCAATCAGAACCAAGCAAAATGTAGGTGAGAGGGACAGGAAACTCTCAATTACTTCCTCTTTAAAACTAGCATTAATCAACTGCTAGGTAAGAAGGGTCATCACTCTGTTCTGGAGGCTCCTTTATGTAATTTGCTAGGAAACTACACAGTACAAATAGGAACACAAAGGAATGACCTTTACTGAAAAAAGGACCAGAACTGAATTGAACATTGTAGCAACATGAAAATAGCCTATGATGATTATCAAAGGAAGTTTTCAATCAATGTATTGTATAACAACCAAAGCATGAACATTCAAACATTCGCATGATGCCAAAAGCACTGGCAGTGGCCACAGTTATGGAGTAGGAGGAAGAGGAAAATGCTGGAAAGATTGCAAGGGGCAGAGGGAGGGAAACAGGCAGGTCAGTTGGGTATTTTATACTTTATGCTAAGGCCAACAGGAATCCAATAGCTCACCCATCTACTATTCTCCCATTCTCTCAAACCCAGAAACATTTCTTTCTGGATTGAAACATGGGTTTTTCCTGAAGGTACAGAAAACATTGTTTCATTGGCTCTGGAGGAAAGGGAGGAGCAGGACAAGGCAGCCGCAGGTCCCTCGGGCCTGGAACGGCTTGCCAGCAGGGAAGAACAGGGGCAGGACGACCGAGAGAGGGGGGAAGAGAGAGCAGACAGTGGAGATGAGGAGTGACGGAGCTCAGGTGATGAGCAAGGACCGCCCCCCTCCTGATCCCCGAGCACAGAGAATGGAGAGAAGGCAGGAGCAGCGAGGCTGACCCAACGACTCAGGAGGAGAGCGCCCCGCCCCTGGGCACACCTGGGGATTGAGACTTAAGGAGATGCTATGGGAAGGGGCGCTTGTCAGGACCAAGCACTGAATTTGTGGAGTTTTGTGTGCTGTTGCTGATATCTGGAGTTCGCTGGACTTCTTGCCTTATTGCTGCCTTGTTCCTTTGCCTCACTGGACTTCTTGCCTTGCCTCGTGCTAACAGTGTTTTGCTGGACTACTCGCAGCCAGAGACTGCTGGAGGTGTGTGTGAGTGCTTTGCTCCAGGACTTGCTATAAACATGGGAGCGTTTGGGGGAAAGTTGGAGCAATAAAGGGGAGTTTGAACTATCAGTTGGCTGTGTTGCCTCTCTGCCTTACCCCGGATCATCACAGATACAGTCATGTAAGTTTTTATGAAAAAGTACATAAGAAAACAAAATACATTAAAATAGATGTATAACTTTCCTTTCACTATATCAAAAACAAGGAATGAAACACATGCATCTTTGTCCAACCTATTGGAAAAGAAATTCATCTAGTATTTTGCCTTCTAAACAAGATGACTGACATTAGCAAGAAGGAATAGAAAATGAAACTATGCTAACACACCTGCATTTGTGACTGATACTCCAACTGACTGGCCAGGCTTGTCCACAATAACATAAGGGTTGCTAACTACAGAGGTCCCAGCTCCTTGTTTCATATGCACTGGAGTGGATGTTGGGGTACGAGGTAGTGGAGAAGGACTTGGGGTTGATATCGGAGAACCTAAAGAAAGGCATTCCAATTAAATGTAAGACAGATATGCCTAAATTACAAGACACATAAATTGCAAATATAACAGTTCAAATACAGAACTCATTCAATTATTAAAAGGATAGAAAACTAGTCCACAATTTACCACATTACTTCCTGAAACATGCTCCTCTAATGACAGGGAGATGTAGCATCTAAAAATGTCATGTTTTATTCATTACAACAGATATAGTAAATATTGTGAGGCTTCTTCCAAGCTAAGACTTTTTGTATCCTTTACATTAAGCTCATGGCTATTCATTATATCTTATCACTTTGTCCTTTACAATAAATAAGAATACTTTCCATTTGTGAGATCTCATTTTAGTAAAGTAAAAGTAACCCTCCCTCAGATGGACAGCTTTTGTGTGAGTCAGTCAGATGGAGAGGAAGAGGGAGAGCAGTGTCCACTAAGTAGTACCACAAACCAGGGTTTATTCCAGCAGCATATTTGCCACGGTTGCCCCTCCTCACCCCTTCCCCAAATAAATATAACATTTTCAATGCAAAGTAAACTAGCTTATTTTCATTAGATGTAAACATAATATGCCCAAGCAAAACAACTGAAAAAGGCACTTCAGAAAGTGCATCGTCATGAATAAAGTGCATCTACTTGAAGAAGCCATATCCTCTAAAAGAATTAGTCCTGTCTGTATGAAGACTGTCCCTTTTTGCCCATGCATGTATGAATCATCTGGGACTCCAAGCAAAGCAAAGGTGCTGGGTATGCATACATATGCTCAGAATCCTGAGGAAGAGAAGCTGTACAATCTTTCTAAAAGAAGCCACTGCTTGAAAGAGTTATGCATGAAAAAAACATGCTTTGTGGAACACCTACTTCAAATGTTTTCCAGTCTTGTTAAAGGATGTTAAAATATCCTTCAAATTATCCATACCTGACACAATCTTGCAGCTCATGGTGATGGGCTGGAAAGACTTGCCTGGAGACTCAGCAGGGCTTGGGATTTGACCCTGAGGCACTATTTTGCAACTGGCTGCAATTGGCTGAAAAGCTGAGTTGCTGTGGGAGCCAAAAGCGACTTTCTGACTTGGGAGCTTAGTGGGAGTCCGTTCTAAAGATGATGGCAGAGCATAAAAGGTTGTATGCCTTTCAGCTTCAGCACTGAGTCCTGGTGTGGAAATGTAAAGGAGAAGACAAGAAAGGTGCAAAGTTTTCTTGATAAATATATCAATTTAAACAGAAATATGGGGCAAAAATGGTTCATTCTGCTGAAAACCTCTTGAAATTGATTCATTTATTAAAAAAAAAAACTGAAGAATTTTCCTACTTAGAAGGACATGATTTGAGTTTCTATCATGTCTTTGACATTGAAATTACTTATAATTAGGGACAAATTTTCCCTGAGAGAAATCTCCAATCAAACTGAGATTCCCAGTTGTTCAACAACGCATGAATATAATCTCGATTCAGACAGAAGGACACATATCATTTACCTTTTTCAAGAGAAACTTCTGTGATGGATTCATTTACTTGTTTTATTGGTGAAGATGCTTTCATAGGTGCTGGCATATTTAATGGCAAATGCAATGAGTTAGGAGCGTCAGAAAGATCAGAATCTGACGACTGGTATTCTTCTTTAAGAGAATGCCGATGCAACTCAACATCCACAACCTTTTCAAAAGAGAAGGAAAACTACTGTTGGGCAACTGACAATTTTATTTGTAGTTTTTTTAGTCAAGTATATTCAAAGAGCTTCATAACACCTTGGTATTAAAATATATATAACGCTGGGCCCTCTGCATTCAAAATGAAGAGTTAAGTGCCTGGAGAATTGTGACTTACTGCTGAATTCTGGTGTGAACCTGTAATAGTATGTGGGAATAAACTTGGGAGACAGGAGGAAGACTCACAGACTAGACTATTGTCATGCAAAACTCCACAGAAGCAGAGATGGCAAGGGACGTGTTTCGGAAGGGACTTCCCTAATTTTCCAGAGAGCAAAAGAAGAGGAGAGAAGGAATACTTTTAAACTTGCAAGGTTCTGTTAATGTAATCTTTCAATAAAAATATAGCTACCTTTCACTGTGCTTGTTTTCTGGACTGCCTCAAAAGGTTAACAGAACCAGACAATGCAGTATATGTAGAACAACATGGCGAAAAGCACACGTTCTCTCAGATTTTCAGGTTTATTTCTCAGAACCACCTTCAAAGATATGGGTGGTGTGTTTTATATATTCCACCCACAAGAAAAAATCCACCAGGATTCTGCAACATTAGCTCAGGTTACAAAGTTTCCATTTGTTAAAGCTTCTAGATTAGGGATAGACAGCATGTGGAGCTCCAGATGTTGCAATTTTCAACAATTGTCACCATTGGTTTTGCTGGCCAGTACAATGGATTTGTTGTCCAGTGACACACAGAGGCCACATTACCCAGATTACAAAAACGTTATATTCAAGCAAAATGTGTATAATTTATCAATGTGAGGTACCATTCATATTTGTTTGTGACCTATCCAAGCTTCTGTCGCTAATAATACACAAATTCAATAGACTTTGTATTTTGGCATTATGGCTGCTTGAAAGATATTTATTGTGGACACTTTTTAAAAAAAACAAGAAAGTCTCTCATTTTTCTTACCAACATTTTAAAAAGTTAAGCAAAGTAAAAACAAACCATACCGTTTCAGCCCCTAGTGTCTGTAGACCAGTGTATGTTCTATCCAACTGTAAGAAATAGAAAATAAGATTTTTTTTAAAAAAAATCCTATTTCTGACACACATTATCTGTTAAACCATTTCAATACATACAAACCTTGATGCTTCTTCACGAAATTCAGATATTAAAAAAGCTGTGTTGTTTTAACTATTTTTAAACAATCATTTATCATGTATAATAAAAAAATCCAGCATTTTTTTAAAAAAAAAATCAGCATCCTGATACCACATATTCTATCTCTTAATTTCTCAATCACTGAGTGACCTGAATGTCCTCAGCATTTTAGTATTCCTCAAACGTTGGCTGGTTTTAATCCACTTTGAATTTATGCATTTGTTCTCTCCAAGTATTTTGTATTTGTTCTGTTTTCACTGGATATGGAAAAAAAAAGAAAGAAAGAAAAAAAAAGGATGCACTGTATTCTGACTTGAGTCAATGTCTTTCAAGACAATGGAATCTTACAATGCAGTATAAAAGATGAATTCAAACTACATGAAATGAAGCATTAAAAAAACTGCAATGAATCAGGGTCACAATGAGAGACAGCTAAGGGAGAAAGGCTTCATAGCAGCCCATGGAGTTGCTCAGCATCTCCATTATGTGCCTCTGATTTGCAGGTGATACAACACCAGGAATAGCTCCAATTCACTACAGGAAGGCAGGATTAATATGCACAATGGATTCGCCATAATTTCAAGATGTGGGAAGCAAGAGAGATGGCGACATTTAGTAAACAGCTTTATGGATGGCAATAAATCTTAAATTTCCAAAGAGAGCAAAAGAAATGCAAATGAGTTTTTAACCAAGGACATTTTCTCCCCCAGAAGACTCCCCCAAGAGAAAATAGTATTATGTAAAAGTAAATTAGTATAACTACTAAATTACAAGGAGCTATGCATGTGTTTTAAAATCATCCATAGATAACTTTTTTTCAATAGTCAAGTAAAGAGTATTTATTAATGGTCTAATTCTTGTTCATTTGCCCCAATGTTGGGTTGATATTTGTACATTTAAAATATTTGCATGCTGTTTTATTAAAAGCTTTAACAATATTTAAGCAGTTTACAGCCAAATCTAAAACTCAAAATAAAGCAACAGCATTAAAACAGAAAATGCATACTCATTAATGGATATAAGATGAGAAATAGTTGTCTCAAGGCTTGGATAGCAAAATATGTTTTCAACAGGTGCCAAAGCAATGCAGTAGGTTCTTACACAGCCATGTATAAGCAGCTTCATAGCAAACCTGTCTGTTACTAAACCAGGAGGCAGATAGCGAATAGGCCTCCTGTTCAAACATGTATCGTCTAGTGGCTAGATCTACTTCCAAATACTTGGAAAGAACAAATATATGAATTAAAAGTGGATTAAAACTACCCAATGTTTGAGGAATACTATAATGCTGAAGGCAGTCTAGGTCACTCACTGATTGAGAAATTAAGAGAGGGAATATTTGGTATCAGGCTAATTCTAGCCCATCTAGCTTCTGCCCAGACAGCAGAAGAGGTACAAGAATGCGAATCCTAATTTCACTAAGTAGGGCTTGTGTTTGATACACTGCAGTTGCTTGAATTCTTCTGTAATGGCTTCAAAGCTTTTCTACAATAAACCTACCTCTCTGACCTTTTATAACTTTGGAAATTTATTCTTGAAAGGGTTATCTTGGCAGCTAAAGGAAGCCTGAAAAATAGTAGCCACCTCCTGAGCGTTGAGAGGAGAAAATGCCAAAAAGTAAATATCACCAGACAGCCTATCCTCAAATGATTGCAAGATGGCAGTCTATAATTTGTGACAATCACAAAAGGATCTTCCTGGATGGTTTCCTTTTTATCTGGGGAGGAGGGAAATTCTTGAATCTGACAGAAACAATTCTTGGTTATGTTTTGATTTATGCACTGAGAATCATTATAGGTACGGATGTTTTAAAAACCTGAATATTTTAAAATATTTGTATTTTCCCAGTATTTCTGCTTGAAATTCCAAGCAATCTGTATTTTTTTTTAAAAAGCATATTCAGTTAAAAAATAATGTAATTTAAATAATTTTGGATGTCCCATAGATGATATCTGGTGTTATTTTTTTTATTATTAAGTAATGCGTTGCTGACTTCTGCACATACATCTTAGTAAAAAAAAAAACCTTACATTTAACATTATTTGAAGCTCCATATGTGCACACATATAGTACACATATGACCATAGGCACTTTATTATAGTTCTTTATTTCAGAAAGGAATCCTTTAGAATTATTTATTTTCTTGGTTCTGGCTCTTGAATTTTCCTTTGTAAAACAAAGTTATAAACAAAATTTTTTTACCCTTATGGACCTCTTTTAGATTTCCCCATTTTTAGGTTTGCCCTTTATTTTTTACAAGAATATACGGTTGCTATACTTTGCAGGTGTAATAGATCAACATGGGAAACCCCCCCCACAATCGTGTTAAAATTTCAGATATCTTTCATAAACATTATTTGTTATGTTCATTTTACTTTATAAAACCCAAAACCAGACTGACTATTTCCTTGAGAAAAAGTAAACAAACAAACAAAAAAAGATGTAGGACAAAACTAGGCACTGTATCATGGAACACTACAGTATTACCTTGAGATGGTGTATAATGTCAATCCTTTTGTTTCGGTTATCCTTAAAGTGAATCTGAACCCGCACTGGAAACTCTCCCCAGCCCCGCCTTGTCAGATGGAAAGGAGGTTCTCTACAAATATGGACATTGGAGGCTTTAGTTATTTCTTCTAACAAATATTTTAAAAAAAACAAAATGAAAAAAATACCAAGAAATATTTGAGTCTTAAAACGGGGATAATGAAAATGTCATGCCAATTTAAAATAACTAAATACATGAAATGAAATCCTTATATCCAGGAAATGCTGTATCTGAGAAACCAGAAGAGCCGACAGAAAGATATTCCGAGTTACTGAGCCTGCTTGGGGATGCTATGCCACTGATAATGTTGGATCCAAGGAGTATCATTAAGTGATGCATTTTCTACTTCAAGGACCAATTCTATCCAGAATGTTACCAACAGATACAAGAGATGAGGAAGTTGCAGAAAACATATGGAGCATTCAGGTGATTTCAATGAAATCTGTGTTACCTGACTTCAACAAGATCATTAGGTTTATAGCTGGGATGAAGGAAAAACCAGACTTTCTTAACAAAATGATCAATGCTTGGCTCTCGTCGGGAACCTCTTACGTACACCATCCATTTATGAGTGGATTGGTCGTTTTCTTCTCTCTTATCAGGAGGAATGTATCTGGAAGACAGAAAAAAAATAAATCCACCAAAGTTAATTCTACTGCATCACTAATTAAGCAATCCTAAATAGTGGAAAGGCTGTTATGGTTCTCTTTGTGACAGAGAAGAATGTTTCTTCAGGAAAACTCTTCATTGACAAAATGCTTGGTCATTCCTTTAATCATGGTAATGAAAAAAAGCTATATATTGAGGAGATGCTTGCTTTTACACTAGGAAATGCCCTCCTTTTCTTTTCACCTATAGGAAAAAATAAAAACATGCTACTGTTGGATTTTTTCCAGTGGAAGAAAAAATAAAGAATGACATCAGAAGGAGAAAGATTATACTGTCCTTTTTAGATGACTAGCAAACAGATGTATAGAAACATCATGTAGCAAAACAAATAGACTTCCTCCACCATCCTTTCTTTCGGAGTCCTGGGAAGTGCTGGTTAGAGCGATCTACTGTGGCTTCAAGCACCATTACCCAGTCAATTCTCTGATACAGGTTGGAGGGGGAAATATGCCTAGTGCAACTCTGAGCATAATCATTTAACTATATTGTCCCATTGAGTCCCATTGCCAGGTGTGTCATATGAAGCTATGGTGGGCACTCCAGTAAGTTACTTGACATAGTAGATGCCTCCTGAAATGTCAGAATGGAGTATATACAGGGGCTGGAGGAGGAGCTAAGAATAGCAGGAACTCTTTAAGTACTCAGAGCACTTCCAATCAACATTATCCAACCCATTAGTTGCCTTCTGCCTTCAAAACTACTATAAAGAAAGAATGATATGGATTGTCTTTCCCTGAAACAACAGGTTTGTCTAATAATAATGGTTACGATATATTATTGGAACAGAATGGAAATCAGTTTGTTTACTGATTCCATATTAACACTGATGACATTATCTACTTGGATAATGAAAAGTCTGCAAGCAAACCGAGGGCACCAAGGACTTTACTAATTCCATAGTTTGATCATCCCTCTTCTAATTTCAATCCATATTTGGAGTGGATAGGAAGAGAGAAAACCCCCCCATTTTGAATACTTACTTGGAAACATTACCGACAACTATTGTTTTCTTCACATATAATCGTGAATGCTCTTCATTTGAAAAATCAGCCTTTCTCAGCTCTGCTTCATATTCTCTTGAAACACCAGAAATGCCCTAAAGATGGAATGTTTATAAATCTATATAAGGATGTTCAGGGAGAAAGATTTCTGATGGAAGTTGCAAGCATTTTAAAAAAATGTGTAAACCTTTCTACTGCTGAAATAGGGAAAAGTTCACATACATATGATTACACCAACAGGAAATACCGGTAGGTAGAAAATTGTTTTGTTCTTTACAGTGGTATTTATAGAGCTTCCAATAAAGGAAACAGGTTTCCTTTTGCCATGCTATTACAAAAGAACTTTTGTTTCTGAAAATTATTTTAACACATTGGTATTGTATCACCTGTCCAGCATTCTTGCGCAGAGTCAAGTCAAATTTGCTTGGCACTCTTTCTTCCACATCCAGACTACCATTGTCTTTTCCCAACATATATTCCATGTGCTGAGAAGATTCACTCTCTGAATGATTGACTGACAGGGTTTCTGAGCCCTGATTAGCAGGAGAGGATGATCGGGATGGAGATTCTAAAAATTTCTTGATGGTTGGATGGTTAAAAACCATAGAATCACAAGTCTTTATTCCCTGAAATAGAACAGCATTTGTTTGTTTGTTTTAGTATAAATGAGGAGGGCAGATGTTAGTCTTGCAGATTTTTAAAACTAATCCCCTAAATTCATCCATCTACAACCTGGTACATAAGACACATCTATGGATCTTACAGACAATTCCACTACTGATTATATCTAAAGGCATGCAGGACTCGAAGAAGCAGATCTATTTATTAAAAACCTGGAAGTTAAAATTGTTGCTGATTTACTGCAAATCCTTCAGACATTGGGAGATATTTTCAGCCCAGTTCTATTTTAAAGACAGCTGCAATCAGAATCTCTGTAGCTTTTCATAGTAAATGCTTCTTGATCCTCTTAAAAAGGAGACAGCAGGATAAAGATACATGGAACATGTATGTCTACCACTGAGCTAGGGGCTGAATAGCAAAATAAAAACATCAGATGGCAATACTACAACCCCATCAGAGCTGCTCTTATAAGTAGCTCATTCATATAATTTTTGGAGGTTGACACAGAATACTAAAACTTGTTTAACAGTGTGTTCACAGGAAAGGTAGCTATCTAGTTCACTCTCTACCTTCTTTGCAACTAGATAAATCTGCTTCTGATTTGCAGCAGTAGATTACCAACAGGCATTATTTCTCAATACCTGAAATTTTTTGAAAAGAGAGAGACAAGAAAAAGAATTTTTAACTTTCAATTTTGGTCATTTTTTAAAGAGTTGCTTTGTTCATGATATAAACGTTTTCCATCATAGTCTTTTTAATTGTTTTTCTCAATGTTATTAATCGTAGTTTGGTGTTTTATTATTTTAAAAAATCTGTCTCAAACTAAAAACAGGTTGTTGTTTTTTTTAAATTCAAGTTTGCTCCTACTGAAGTTTAGTTCTGTTTCTTTAATGGAAGCTTTCAAGTAGTTACACTAATATATGATCTACAACCTTCCATACCATAATACCTAGTGTGCTTAGCCAGAATAAAGTTTAAAAATATCTAAAACGCAATCCTGGTTTATGACTAGTACTCTTTTCCAACAACTTCTTTGCAACCTGTATTTTTAAATACATGAATGTCAACAATTGGAACAGGAGTTCCCTGACACTTCAGTTCAGTGACCCCTTCATGAAGTTTCAGGTTGTTAATGTTGACTCCCAAGCATTATATGAATATTATTTAATGAATACTACTTTAAGCAATAGCTCTATAAATAACGACGTCAATGGATTATCCCATCAAATCAAGGGTTCAACACTGACCACTTTGGGAAATCCTGATATAGATTAAAGCAAGGTAACTTGCCACTACTCACATGTGCACTACTTATCTCCCCAACTTTAAAGAGTCCAGCAGAAGCATAGTAGTTCGCCACAATGCAGGCTCGCAGTTTATCCATCATTCTTCTTGCTTCGATCAGCCGCTGTCAAAAGGAAAATCCATTTAAGAAATGGCTGTACAAATCCCTGCTTCTATTTCTCAATTTATAATAAACATGATATCTATATACCTGATCAATCACTTGAATCTCATGTTCTTTATTTTTCATTTCTATAGAAAACTGTTCTTTAATAATTGCTTCAATCTTCTGTATTGCAGCATCTCGAGCTATGTAAAAAGAGTTCATACAATTAAGATTTTTATGTTCAAGATATTTAAGACTGTTTGCAATGTTTTTGAAAAAAATGTTCCACATGTAAGCTAAAAATGTTTGTGATGTCAGATTGAGCAGGTTGTTGAAAGAAAACCACATCAGATTATACACAAATAATGTAAAGATAATGCATCTATTTCAAGGAATCACTGTAACTTGTAACTTACACTGTAACACTGTAATTTTTGAAATCTAAATATTGCTGAAAGAAAATTTAGAAACAGGAGGACTTGATTGTCACTCATAACTGGGAATCTTTAATTAAGATCTACATAAACATAAAATGCTGGAGTCTCACATTATACTAAATTTTGAATTGTAATAAGCCATAGAAATGACTTATAAATCACTATTATTGGATTCCCAAGTTATATTATGTTTAGTGTAATATATATATATTAGCCAAAGTTTTAGTAATCAATAAGGTCTCATTATACTTATGATCAATTCCCATATTGTCTTAAATGCTACTTTTATTTTTTACCCCAAAATGAAATTGGAAAAGGTGTTTCTTGGACTATGAGTTGAACCAAGATCAACATCACACAAAAATACAATGAAACATGTCTATACAGTTGTGAAAGAAAAAGTGGAAAAACTGAGATTTAAGATTGGTTTTAATCTTAGTTTTTAATTACATACTGTTCGTTTTTTTAAAGAAATTTTACCAGATTGTTCTGATGCTTTATGATGTTTGTTTGTAGGTGCAATTGAGATCTCTTCATAGTCTGGGTCCATCTCCTCTACAGTCCTCTTGATACCTGACATTGTTATCTTCTTCACTAGAGAAATAGAAGAAAGAAACAGATACATAGCATTTGTAAATTCTAGGTTCTAAGCTACATTACAGAATTAGCCAGTTCTCTTATTGAGAACAAAAGACCAGCACGTCTGAACAAGAGGTAAAGAATTCTAAAATAAATCAATATTTTATAGCCAAAGATTGCTCTTTGCTATGGTCACTGAAAAGTTACATGGAAAAGTTATACGGACTCATTTTTTAAAAAAATGGGGAAAAAAGACTGCCACTAAATGACATTTTAAGGTGTAAGAATACTTGTATATGTTTATGAAAACCGCAACCTGTTTTAGTTCTACAACTAAGCTTTATTTTCGTCTTTCTTTTCTATTGAAAAGTAAATGTATATGCAGTGTGTAGACATATCACATAGACCCAGTATTCCATTATAAATGAATACAAATCTTCCCAAAGTATTTTTACCTTAGACATATAAATCAAAATCTGATTTTCTTTTAATGCTCTGCACTTTGGCTGAAGGCTTCTTAGATTCCTCCCAAAGTTTTGTTTTTCAGTTAGTCCTGTCAAATAAAAATGGTTTTTATTAATGAAAACAGATTTTACTTTCTTCTCAGTCTTTCAGCATGTTTTACTGCTATCCACTCAGTTTTTGAACACTTAAGTTTATAATTTCACATTTACAAATATTTAAACTTTTACAATCATGGAGATTAGACACTGACAATTTAACTTTTATTACCATTTGTTTTCTTGGCTGAATATAGAAAACATCATCGGTATATATTATTGCAGAACAGTTTTATTAAGATATGTTATCATGGAACACCAAAGACAGAAGCACATTTAATAAATATAAGCATCAATAGGGTATCAAAAACTGCACTCATTTGCTACTGTCACTGAATGGAACTCCTTAATGATAATTAGGTACCGCCTTGTAAGGATCCTCAGAACAAACATTACTGAAGGAAAATGGATATCAAGACAGAATACTGACTATATTTTGTATATTTTTGTAATTAGCATGCCTATCAATATTCAAAACTGTGCCAGATAGTGTCTGGGGTCAAGCCCCATCCAAAATCATAGTTTTAATATGAGTTGCATTTAAAAACAAGTACCCAGACAGGACTCGTAGAGTATGTCAAATAGTAAACACAGAGCTGTTCTCGTAACAGCACAATCCAGTGCAATCAAGTTATGCTTAAACCAGTTAAAATGAATAGAAACAGGTAAACATAACTCTACAATGGCATGGGCAACCCATGTGTTTAACAGGAAGTCCTACTGAATTCAATGGGAACTTTCAAGAAACGTAGTTAGTCTGCAAGGTTGCAGATTTAAAGCATGCTCCAAACAAGAGTTCACCAAAACTCAGCGTTTCTCCTTCCAAGTAAACGTGGGTTAGGATCTGACTGCAAGATAGGCGTAAAGGGGGGTACTTCGCTTTTCCAGTCCCGAAGCCCAACGAAGTTAAGACACTGAGCAAACTTAGTCGGCTCTTTCAAAGGTAGTTGCCTCCGGCTTCTTGCAAGAGCCCCCAGCCTTTTGCCAGAGTCGAGCCCGAGCCGGAGGGGGCGCTCGCCAAACTCACGCACCAGCCTGCCCCTTCTCAGCTCGGGAGGGATAATGCGGGGCTTCGGCTGCAACTGCACAACTCACCGGCTTGCTTTAAAAAAACAAACAAACCCCGGAAGGCCGCCGCTGGCAGTCCCTGATAGCATTAACCAACCCAACGCTCAGCGAGGCCACCACCTGCAGCGCGCAGCCGCCATCAGCTCCGTCCTCTCTCAGGGCGACGGAGGGGCGCGGCTGCGCAGGCGGAGAGCGGAGAAGGGGCGGGCATTGGGAGAAGCCCATGCCTGGAAGAGGCGGCGGCGGCGGCGGCAGTGGCGGTGCTGCACTGGTCGGTGTATTCTTGGCAAAGCCAAGCCCGAGAGCGGCTCTTCACCTACAGCATCCGCTGTAACTTAAACGACTTGGACTAGTGGCCAAGAAGACTGATGTGTGCCGCTTTTAATTTTTCTTCTTCCGGGAGTTGGGATTTTGTTTAAGGAGTATTTTAAAATCTCCAAAAGTTTGTATCACTAGACTTCTTTATAGTATCTTTTTTTGCTGGCACTATTACTCTGATTGTGATTATTAACCGTACTCGTTGTTAGCTGTGTGGGAATGCTGTGTTGAACTATTAAAGTGGTAACGTATGATGAGCAGGGAGACTTTTCTGCTCTCCCAAGTTTTCAGAATGCCAGAAAAACAACATCTGAAGCTTTCCAGCAGCAGATACATAGGAATGAGATGAAGACGGCGACCCGCAATTTACACACCTTGTAAATTTTATTGTTGCCTTGTCCTTCGTTGGCCATCGTTTTCCTCCTAAAATATGCCCTTTAAAAATTCCAGGGACCATTTTTCTCAATTCATAATGAACTTCTATGGCAATGAGCATTTGAAAATAATATGAAAGTGCTGGGGAACTGCCACCCAAGAGAATTGGGCTCATGCTGGGAATTAATCTTCAGTTGTGCAGCTACAAAACACTTAGGGCTGACACACACCCCGCCCCTTCCATGGGATCTTATCTGTTATCCCAAGAGAAGTCTGGGGAGATTCTTGTATTATAGGCAGAATACAATAAAGTAGTCATCTTGAACGCTACATATGTGAATCTGGTTGCTTGTGCCTGACAGAAATAAACTACATCAGTAAATTCATCCAAAATTCTACTGATGTTCTCATGTATACTTAGGTCAACTGCAACCAAAGAAATGCAGATTGTAATTATTTATACACATATAAATGAAATACATCAATTAGTGTAAATTAATATAAATAGTAAAAAAATGTGCTGTTTATATTCTAATCATTTTTGCCAATTGTTCTAAAATATAAGCCGAGGTAGAAATGTGTAACGTTTTTAAAAGTTTAGTTGTCAACATACTTTAACTGAAACTCTGTTTTTCAGACCATTAACTTTTCCACTATTTTTAAAATTTAACTAAGCTAATGCACCTCATTGAAACTATTTATGTACATAACCTAAGATTTTATAAATTTGGGTAATGAAACAGCTGCAAGAAAACAAGCAATATCAGAGAGCACCAAGGACCCCTGATTTCATAGCTGTATGGTGGTTATTGAAGTAGTTTTTATACAATTTATGAATATATTTGTCTAGATATTGCATTGTTACAGTACAGTCCTTCACAACTTTCTTCTGTGCAATACTTACTCAGTTAAGTTTAAACATGAAACATACTGTACTAAGTGAAATGTACTTCCGACGGGGATAAATTAATACAGTCCAATAACAATTTGTAAGGTTTTTTTATATGGTATCAAGGCCAAATGTTTATGTTGAATGGCTTGAGTACATGGACAAATGTTGAAGAGGATAGTTGATGTAGATGTTGGAGGTTGATTTGTTTGCTTATCAGCTGCTTGTTACTGTGAATGTTTGGGCAAAACTGTGAGAGCTCACAGGTTAAAACATCTTTATAGCAGTGGGGCTAATTGTATCCTCCATATTGACTGACAATAGCTATTTGGGGCCAGCTATTTCTGACAGCCAATATCTAGGAAATTCCAAGCAGTTATTTGAGGTTGTGATGATTTTTGACATATGTGTTTGAGATAGCAATAGCACTTAGACTAATATATTGCATCATAGTGCTTTACAGTATTCTCTAAGTGATTTACAAAGTCAGCATGTTGCCCCCAAAATCTAGGTCCTCATTTTACTGACATAATACAGAATTTAAATGGAAATCTAGCGTTCATTATTATAAATCTTCTACTTATGAATAACATCGCTATTTGGCCTGGTTGGAAATTGAAAGCTACAGTAAAATAACATTTATCTTTCAAACTAATATAATATTCTGGCAATGATATTGCTTGCTATGGAAAATGTAATTTTCCCAGTTGAATTAAGATCTTTTAAACATTAGGAACATAAATGTTTCCCTCTACAAGAATTGAGAAACTTGTGACCATTGTTGTTTATATGGTAGCATGCTCTTTAAAAAAACCTTTAAATATAGACAAAATGGCTGTCCCGTTGATTAGTAGGATTGAACTACCTTTTGGAGATAAAGTTGTACTGTTCCTGACATCTCAAGTTCTTTCAGTCTTAGCTGTTTTTTGATATTCAGATGGCAGCCGCACCAAGGAATAGCTTTCTGTAGCTACTGAAACAATTCTTTCTTTCTGAAACAATTTCTGCCATATGATTTTTTTTAGAAGTGAAAAATGTGTTGGCTGGAATACTGAGTACTGCAGCTACTGGGAACATATTTTCATGTTGAAAATCCTGCACTGGCTACTAACGGTTTTCTGAATATGCTTCAAAGTACAAGTGTGTTTTCTGTACTGTTTTAGTGGTTAAATCCTAAATATCTGAAAGACCATCTGTTTTATTTTACGTTGCTTTTTACTTTTAGGATCCTGTGTAATTATAAGAAAAGTGGGATCTAAATCAAGTAAGTAATAGACGTTTACATAATAAAGATCTAAATTTTTTAATAAAACAGAAAATCAGAATGATGCAAATTAGCAATATTTATTCTGAATTTGGCTTTGGGGCAAAGATTACACTAAAATGGATTTATTTACAACATTCAGTTCTTTGGATTAAGTATACAAAATAAACTACAACCAAATGCTTTTCACCCTCACATATCGCTACAACCCATACATAGTAGCTTTAAAAAGCATCATTTATAAGCAATCATCAAAAAAATCACACATACTTATAAATACATACACATAACATTGAAATATCTACTGATACACTCCAGTATTATAATACAAGCTAAAAAAAACATTCAATTGAAGATTATTATAAAGCATATTGGTAAGTACAATAAAAATGATCAAACTATTAGAATTACTGTTCCTAGTTCAGTGTTTTGTGGTATAACTGAAGACTTCACTCAGTAAGTTTCACGAGGTTAGCTGCCATCTAACCTGTATATTTCTTTAAATATTCACAAAACAATTAGTTGAGAAAAGTGTGGGTATTTTTAGTGTTATTGTTCAGCTAAATCCTTCTATAACACAGGAAATTTATAATGGATAAATTTTGTATCAGAAAAGGTGAAAGGTAGCTTGGTCTACCTTCATGTAACTCAAGATGGCTAACTCCCTGTTGTAAATTTTCCATGAGTTTTAAACATGATAGGATACATGACGATGCAGTGAAATAGAATATGCTAGAATAAAGATGGGTAGCTTTCCAAGAATTGGACTTTGCTGCACCTTTCCTTGATCAGCTACAAGATTGCCTGGGGATCTCACAAGAAGTGATAGATTTCTGGTCATTTGGGCAGGATTAAAGGTATAAATAGAGTTTAACTCCTAGAGGCCTTCTGCTTCCACTTGGTATTTATTTTGAAATGGTATTTTGAAATAAAACAAAAATCATTCTATTAACATAGTCAGGTTTGTTGGGCTTTTGAAAATGGGATGACGGGTCATGTGAGGCATGTATGTTGTCCAGCCCTGTGCTAAATTTTCCGGGAGGTGCTCATCTCAAATATAGGTGGCATCTTTTAAGAACTAGGTAACAGTGTATTTAAAAGTATTTCCAGGACTGCATAAGAACCAAATACTGCAGCCACATAATTCAGTGACCAATACGTTTTCTGAGTTAATATTCATCTACTTTTAAAATATTGCATGCAAATAAAGTTTTGTTTAGTATTATCATGCTGCTGCCTGGATTCCAACTATTTTGGAATCCTTCACAAATGAAAGAACTTCCTTAACAAAGATCAAGCAATCTGTGAAAGATGGAGGTTCAATTGGAGGGTCAGTCTCTACAGTGAGTAATTCTTTCTCTGCATTTGACACAGTCATTTCTTTCAATTTTAATGTAAACAGAAAAAAGCCTGTAAAAATCAAAAGCACAAGCAGGTTGCTTGTTCCAAAAAGCCAAGTACAGAATATTACAGAATAGTACAGTTTTAAATACATATTAAATATGTGTTTTGGAAATAGTAACACAAAACATTTTTACTTACAGTATAAAGCAAATACACAAAAAAATGCAGTCATGATTAGTTGCTGAATGCTTTGAAGGGGCCTAATGCCCCTTTGAAGGGGCTATGCCTTCCAGAGAGGTTGCATGCTGTATCCCAGCTGCCTGAGTGTGCATGTTGCATATCCAAATACTTCAGCTGGGACTTACTAACAAAACAAAGCAGCTGTGCATGCACACAAGTGGAAATGGCTTTTGAAGCAATAATTTACAAAAAGATTCTTTAAGGTTATGAGGTGTTTCCCTTGAGCTACTGAGTTTTTAGAGAAGGGCCTTATAAATGCTGTGCTACAAAAATACAGCTATATATGGCCTTTATAGATATGAATCTATGGTGTAAGACAACTGTTATTAAACAATGGGCAACTGTTTCTATATTCATAATTGAACTTTAATCACATTAAGATTCAAATGTAATACACAAGGCTGCAGAGAGATCCAGATTAGAAGGATTAGATGTGATTTGAAATGCACATCTTTTTCTGAAGACTCATACCAGCTTAATGCAGTTATTCTGAGGTGCTATATGTACACACTTGTGTGTGCTCCATATTTTGCTCTTTGAATTCATCTCTCTATACATTTCTGTAATACAGGTAGTCCTCGATTTATGACCACATTAAACCCCAAATTTCTATTACTAAGCAAGACAAGTGAATTTTGCCCCATTTTACAACATTTGCCACAATTGTAAAGTGAATCATTGCAGTTATATTAGTAACACGGTTGTTAAGTAAGTCTGACTTCCCCATTGATTTTGTCACATTGCAAAAGTTGATTACATGAACCTGGGACACAACAAACATAATAAATACAAATCAGTTGCCAAGCATCTGAATTTTGATCACGTGACCATAGGAATGCTGCAACAGATATTAAGCATGAAAAACTGTCATAAACCACTTTTTTCAGTGCTGTTGTAACATTGAATAGCGTCTGTATCAGAGGTGTCAAACTCCCGGATGTATTATATGCTTGCCATGCCCAGTTTAGCAAAGGGGAAAAAAGTCGTATGGCACATGACACGAGTTTGACACCCCTGCTCTAGATGAACTATTTTAAGTCGAGGGCTACCTGTACACTGCAGATCAGGAGAGAAGTTGTTAGATTAAGGTAATTCCTAAAAGTTTATTAAGAATCCTGACTTTATTCAGTGGAATTTTTTTCAATAAGAAAATCTATGGTAATATTGGATATATTTGATTTAACCAATGTAACAGCATCAAAATGCAGGCCAGTGACTGTAGTTTTAGGAAAAAAATCCAGTATATTGCAATAAAACCAAGTAAACTATAGATTATATACATGTAGTGATTCTTACTTAAATATGTAAATATCTAGTAGGTGATTCTTTTCCTGCCTCTGTTCCCCTTTGAATTGCATTGAGTGGATTTAAGCAAAACAGTAAGCATGCAAAATTAAAGTAGAAATAACCAAAATGTAAAATAGGGCAAATTTCCTGTAGATGGCAAGCAAGATTTATTTGGCACAATCTATCAAGCTCTTAAACAAGTGACATGCATTGATTGACATTTTCAAACAGTTATTTGCAACTTAATTTCAGAAGTATAAACAGGAATTTTTTGAAGTTAATTATGATCAAATATGACCCAAACAGTAGTTGAAAGGACGTTTTAAGGGGGAAAAATATCTTCACTATAGCTGAAAATAAGCAAGCAAACATGCCAAGGAGAGTTACACATATCATTACCATATGCCTCATTTTTAAATGGAACTTTTCCAAAATAGATGCCAAGAAAAAAAAGATACTATTAAGTTTATCCAGTTGGTTCAGCCATTTAACTTTGTACATTCAAAATATGAATGAATTATTTGACATAAATTTTAACATAAATCTGCTGCCAAGTGATATATTTCATGCAAATGTAGCAATTTTGATGGTCAAGGGTCACACTAAAATGGATTTTGTAGGATAAAGGAATAAAGAATTACAAAGCAGGGGAACATTTTTCATATTTGGACAAAAGGATGTTTTAAAGGAATTCATGGAGTTCCTAATTTTTAACTTTGATAGGACTTGTTATACAAAACTCCATAGTTTTTATTTGCTCTTGCCCTTGAAATGGCAGGGAAAATTGCTGTCATTTTTCATAAACAGTGGCCAGTTTTATGGACTGCAAAAGGAGATTCATAGGCAACAGGTTGACCAGTTCTCCCTTAATATATTTTTATTTTACTGGTGAAATGTGGTGCATTTATTTTCACGAACAGAATAGCTTCCCAATGAAATCAAGAGGGGGAACAACTCCTTTGATTTCAATAAAAATCTATTCTTGTCCCACTGCTGGAACAAAAAGACTTAACTGGATTTCTCTAGTCACAGAAACCAAATTCATTGAACTGTTAATTCATATATTATTGAAAAATTACAACATGTATAATCTACTGCACAGCAGCACAAATGCTTCCAATAATGGAAGTACTGTATAGCCAATGCTAAAAGTATTTAAAGGCACCTACCTATTGCAAACACACAAATATCTATGAGAAAGCACTCAGTAAATAATTAATTTTGAGCCATATCCTTATTAAAACATTTGATGAATGTACACTTATATAAGATTCCAAGGCACCAGAAATGTCACACAGTATATAATAACTGCTTGAAAATCAATTAGAACTATTTAATCAGGCATATTTTTCAGGGAAACTTGTTTTACTAAGTTCCTGATACGGTTAAATGTTAGTATATGTGGGAGATTAAGGCTTATAGTCTAGTCAAGCAAATGTATGTTGGCTGAACATGACCAGATATAAAAATGGAGATGTAAAAATAATATACATAACTTACCTATGTCAGAATGTCCAAGGAAAATTCATAATATTCACAGCAGTATAATAATTATGTGGAAAATATTCAGGAAGCAAACGATGTACAAAACGGCATAATGAATTTTCCTTGTAAAACATGTTCTTGTACTGTAAATGCTTATCATACAACTACTGATCACAGCAATACACAACACAAAAGTGCTGGTAACATGTATACTTATCATTTTCACACCTAGAAATCATGTTTTAATATGCATTTTCTACACTAAAATATGTCAAATTTATTCAAGTTGTACAGGGTATGCTACAGGAAAAAAACAGAATTCAGAAAATGATCCTTTTCACAGAGAGATGCTACCTGGAAAAATATTAATAACAGGTACATGACAGTTGTTTTTATTCTTTAATAGAAGACAATGATTAATCAACTGCGTGTTTATTGGTTCTACTGTATCTTAAATAAAAGCTCCTTACTATTTAATTTTTTGAAATCTGAAGTTGTTATTTACCAATTTGGGAACAATGCTGAAGCCCAATATAGTGAGTGGCAGAGTTTAATCCTAAGTATTGCTTCTTAGGGCTTCTAATGGACAACTATGATGTGATCTTTACTATACATAATTTCAGATGGAAAGTAACTAAGATGTTTTAAGGTCTCATTTAGAAGTAAAATAAAAAATAGTCACATACCACATACTAAAAAATAAATAAATGAAACACCCCTTTAACTGAGTGATTCTATATAGATGGACCTAAATATTTTTAATATGCTTTCTGATGAAAAGTATTTCATGATGCAAGACAACATTGACGTATATTATTTTCAAATATTCTAAAAATTATTCTAATAGTGGTGCTATAAATTCAATTAATGAAAGAAAATAAAGGACAAATATTACTGAAACCATTATATAAATCATATATAAACTCAATTTTTCACATTGATAGTAAACAGTACTTATCACATTGAAAATATGAAAAATGCAGGTAAAACTATTTGAAATAAACTTGGAAAAAATACAACATGGACATGAGCATGATCTATTTAGTAACATCAACTGTTAATGATTTCAGAAGAAGTTAGAAATTATAACTATGGGAAATATTTAACAATCAAGACTTTAAACACAACAGTGTTTCTTTCCAGATGACACTTTGGAAAAGGCTGCTTTCCTGTTTTTAAAATGAATCCTACAAATTCTGACAGTAATATGAGCCTGATTTCTTACTCAAAAATTCTTCTTATCGTTGTATCTGTGAATAGTCACGCAGCCATGGTATGATACTGGTCTGGGCATGGCAGCTACTCCAGTGATGATACTTGTTGCAGGGTCATAACAAAGAATAGTATCTGTGGCTTCTCCATTTTCTCTTCTCCCACCAAGGATATAGATTTTCCCATTACAGACCGACATGCCACAGTTTTCCTGATCATCATATCAAAAAGAGAAAGTGTAAATTTATATTACAATAATTGTTTTGCTAGAAATGTACTAATTTCTTTTGTAAATTTCTTTTCTTAAGCTTGGGCTTGGTATATATTCCCTGTCAATAAACTTGTGCAGCATGCTTTCTAAGAAGTATTTCTGCCTCTTATAGATATCAATATGGGCAAATTCTAAATCAATCAATTTTTTAATGAAAACACTCAAGTATCAAGCTCAATCCAAAAATGGTTTCTGCAAACTTCCAGGACAGCAGCATCCTAATACTTTCCAGATACTTCAAGTATTCTTATGCTGAATTATATCTTTAAACCAAAGTTTCCCATTTTGTGCCTTCCAAATACAGTATATTGGACTTCCATAATTTCTCATTGAAGTTCTGATGTTAGCCAATAAATCCAGTATATTTGGAGAGAGCTAGATTGGAAAAACCTGCTTACTTCTGTAAATACAGCATGATGACAAAATTCACTTTGCCATTTGGAATAAAATCCCAATGCTCCAGTATAAATTTCATAAAAAGCAAACATGTATCGTAGACATAAAAAGCTTTCCTAATTTTGCACTTAGTCATTTTATTTTAACATATCTTTACTTGTACATATGAGCATTTTTAGTCCTTAGATGTTACCTGTCTGCTAAATGTGTTCTGCACATGCATCCAATAATCTTCAACTGGATCATAGCAATATATCGCTTTTGTAAGTCCTCCAGCAACATAAATGAGATTGTTTAATGATACAGCTGTAATACATCTCTTCGCAATGGGGATTGTTGCACGAAGGAGCCAAGAATTAGTATCAGGATCATATGACTGAACCTTAAGAGAAGGAAATACATGTTAGTTTTTAGCACATTTTCGGTATATTATATAATGCTTATAAATTCTGCTCTCTTTGATTTTTAACATCATTCACTAAGTGATGTAATAAATGATGAGCAATCAAAGATTATCCTTCATTTACCATAAGAAATTATAAAATTTGCATACTTTCTTTTTGGTTAGTTAGCAAGTATAATTGTTTAAAAATAGAAGATGTACTTGAATGTCTTAATGAATCAGTTTAACCTGAGAAGAATAAGATTTGCCTTTACCTGGGTTTGTACATATTCCTACCTCACCTTCTCTAGCAAGCTTTTTTTAAAAATTCATTTCTATTCAGTATGTTATCTGGATCCAACATACTTAAACTTATGGTTTAAAATATGTTTTAAAATATAAACTTGAAAGCAAGTCAGTTTCAGCATATGATAACACACAGTTTCTTTAATTTGTGAAATTCTGAAAGGAAAATATTTTGTCCTGGGGATAGAGGTGAGGAGGGTCTCTCTGTCTCTCTCTCCCCCTCCCTCCCTCTCCCACAGCATAAATATTGAACCACAGCATAAATCTGCCTTGGCATTTTTTTTTTCCTCCTCCACAGTCATGATGCTGTCTTTACCTAATCTTCCCCCAAGAGTAAAATAATAATAAAAAAAAGTTATCCTTATTTGTTGTACTGCTATTAAAAAAATTCCCTTTAAACCTTAAACATTTAATGACAGCTGCAAAATGTGTAAAATGTATTATGTAATATAATTCAAAAATAAGTCTCACAAAACAAAATTTGAACAAGAAGTTTAAGATTGAAAATATTCTTTGGAATAAACAACCAATAAACATCATGATTAAAATTTTGATTTTAGAAAGTTACAAACAGACCAAGGCTCCAGAAAAATTTGAAATGAGAGTTTGGATTTTATTATAAAGAATCCTTCCTGTAAGAAAATGCTTTTTTTAAAGTAAGATTTTAAAAATTGGACACTAAAGGTAATTAAAAATTATAATTAAAAAGGAATAGCCTTGATTTACAATTACAGAATGGAGCAAAATAGTCTAACTCACATTATTTTGAAAAATGGACTCAGACGTTAACATTAATAGTGTTATCAGAGACATCTGACTCTATGGAGGGACTGTGACTAAAAAATGTTACGGAAGAGGAACAGGTTTTACAAGACAAGACTGAATCTGAGTTGAAGGTCGATTTACAAATGTCATTCTTGACATGGAAAACTCCAAAGTCATACTAAGGAAATGGCTGGTGTTTAATAATTAAAAAGGATATGCAAATAATAAACCAAAAGGATAATGTGGATAATTTTCCCATGTTGAATTTATAAAACAGACTTGTTAAAGTTTGAAGAATTTTGTGAGAAAGGTCAAAGAAAAAAATGAAAACAACTTTTGAAACATTATTTGAATAAATATTAAGATTGTTAGAAATAATAGGAAGGAATGAAAAATTATAAAATATAAAGCTCTGACACATATCCTGCCCTGCTGGGGTGAGGTTTTCCCCCATCCTTCTATGATTCTGCAAGGGTCTGAACACTCTCCTGGCTCTCTCGGTTAGTCCTGAGACCCAACAGGGGACTACCACACTGGAGGCTGCATTTCCTGCTTCCCTTCTGCCCATCTTTTAATTCATATTGTTATAGATTTTTAATGTTTATTTTTATTGTTTCATTGCTTTGCTATTATGTTTACCTGTTTTATCATTTTCTCCATTTTAATGTTATAAACCGTCCAGAGAGATGGACAGTTAATAAATTTAACAAATAAATAAAGTTGGTTTATTCGACCAAAGTTAAAGTAGATATATTGCTATTTCTGGTATCTAATGGACTGAAATGGCCTAAAATGATCGTAATTTATTAATAGAGAATAGTTGGAGTATAGGAAGGAATCATTTCTTATTTTTTAAGAGGAAGTGATAAGTTGCTAAAATTGTTTACATTTGTGAAGAATTTTTCTTCACAAAAAATATGTATTTCACAAAAAAGAAATATGTATTTCTTTTCATATACTATATTCTTACCTTTATTTCTTTTCTATTTTTTCTGCACCTATTCTTTTTATTCTTTCATCTTGGTATTAATTTTCCTATTGTAGCAATAGCAATAGGACTATTGCTTATATAAACTTATATACCACTTATAAACTTATATACCACTTCACAATGCTTTATAGCACTCTGAGCAGTTTACAGAATCAACATATTGTCCCTAACAATCTGGGTCCTCATTTTACCAACCTCAGAAGGATAGAAGGTTGAGTCAATCTTGAGCTGGTGAGACTCAAACTGCCGAACAGCTGACAGCCAGCAATCAGCAGAAGTAGTTCTGCATTCTAAGCACTGCGCCACCATGGGTTATTATAATATTTAATAAAATTAAAAAGTATGTGTGGTAAAAAAAAAAAAGAGTCAAAAATGAATGGTGATGATTGACTATGAATTTTATTCATAAATGAGAAACCACTAGGACAGAAGTAGATACAGATGATCTGGTCATCCAAGTGAATAAATGAAGATTGAATCAGGAAAAAGAAAAGAAAAGAAAAAATGAATGAGCTGAGAAGGGAAAGATCAAAAGTCAGTTAGATGGTGGTAGTGAGTTCTTGAAAAAGAGGACAGAAATTTAAACAGAAAAGGAATATATGAAGTGATGCATGGACATAGAGGGAGCAAAAATGCTTTGCAAGGATAGAAATTATGGAAAAATAGTGAATGATATAGTGTTAGTTCTATTTTTATTTTGTTATTTCAGTGTTTTAATTTCATTACCCTCTCCTTCTTTTTCTGCACTTTATACAGGGTGATTTACCTCCACAGGTATACACATGTATATTTTAAAATATTACTAATGTGAGAAAAATTAATTCAAATACCAAACCTTATCAGAGCATGTGTTATCATCTGGACCTCCACCAATCACAAACAGTTTGCCCACACAGCTGGTAACTGCTGGAGAACTGACAGCTTCTTTAAGTGAAGCTACCTCTGTCCACCGATTGGAAAAAGAGTCATAGCACTCTACACTACTCAGCCGATTTTGCCCATCATATCCTCCAACCACATACACCTGTTAGAATATTGAAAAATGTTATCAGCATGTATTTATCCTCTAATATTTTTAGGAACACAAATGCAAAGTTACACAAAACCTGAAAGTCTTCAGATATGCCTCGACTTTTCAAAAACTTACGTTAAGATTATCGTACCTAGGCTGCAAAAATCCACATAATCACTGTGGTTGCTAACATTTAAGGACTTACTTGTATTTCCATGCTACTATCTTATGGTTGACTGAAAGCCCAAAAAGGGCATCCCAGTTTAAGATATGAAATGCACCCAAATGCATAAAAACTGGCAACTGAGAGCATATTATCATTATTACTTTTAATGGTTTTATTCTCTCCCTCCCCACCTCCATTTATTTTAATTGGTTCAGCAGCTGGGTGATCTTTGTGACATCAGCCACAATACCTCCTTCTACCACCTAGTTTGGTTACAAAAGTTCTTCTCAGCGCACACATAGGAGCTTCAAATACCCCATGTAATTGTACAGGATAATTTGCACAAGTTTATTATTTATTTATTATTATTTATTAGATTTATAGTTCCTACCGGTAGTAAATAAAACTTATTACTTATAAATATGCATACACACAACCTCCAAAATAACAACTATGTATTTTTTAAAATTGGAAATAAGGAAAAGACTAGCCACAAATCTTAATTTAAACCCATGCTTAAATTAAATTAAATACAAAGCCCATGCTTTATATGCAAATAATCCAAAGTTTGAATATTAACATTTCCAAGTAATCTGCTGACTGAAATGCTAAGATACTATTAAACAGTTTGTCTTAATACAGATAAGGAATAACATTTTATCATGATCAAATTAAAATTCACTTCTTGCTATGTAGATGCAAATCTTGCATTATGACCCAACATTTTGCATCATCTGTTCTCAGCTCATCATTCAGACAAGCCAGTGGTACCCAACAAGGCAAATAAATACTTTTAACTTTAAATAACAGATAATCTTATAACCACTTATAACCGCGGATGGTTTTCTATAAAGTTGAAATAATGTGAGAGGAAAACTACTAACAGGAAAAAAACTTATTGACACATGGTTTAACAGCAGGGTTCACATAATTCTTGGGATATGATCGGGTCAAACACATACTTCAGATTTAATGATATTGAATTTTAAACAGAAAAAACAGCTTCGCATTAGAAAGCATGACCCAAGGTATCAAAGAGTTTGGGGAAAGTGGTCAGTTTTTTTCCCCAATTAAAAAGTTTATATATATAATATTATAGTATTATATATATAAACTTTACATATATAAGTTTATATATATAATATTATACCCATATTAGGTATAATATATTGCCCTTGATATTATCATCAGAAAATATCTTAAGATCCCAACAAAAAAGTTTATTTGCCCATGTGGATCCCAGGACATAAAAAGCATGTGTTATTGTTCTACTAATAAGGACATTCATAAAGCCTATCTTACTCCTGGCTTCATCACTACCCAGGAAGAACATGCAACACTTCACATGACTTCAAATTCTCTTCAACTCGGACTATATCAAATATTATGCAGCAGCAGAAAACAGAAAACATGAAGCACAAATTTATTCCATTATTTATAACTTCATTTACTTGCTGACTATCTTGACGTTATTCGATATGTTGTTTTATTTCATTATCTTTAGCAATATTTTCTGTTTCGGCCCCTTGGCTATTAAAAAGTATGTAAGTGTTTATGTATGTGTGTGTGACTGTGTGTATCAAAGTAAGATATAAGTTAGGCTGTTTGTTATAAATAAGAAAAGCCTGACATTGAGAAACCCATTTTCTATAGCAACTGTGCATCAAATGTAATGTATACAGTATATCAACAAATCCGAATGTTAAAATGACATGTTTCAACAGCAAACCTCACCTTTAAGACAGAGAATTCAATGTGATTTTGGGTGTTTTATTGCAACCATACTCCAGAAATTAAGTATCTCTAATAAAGATCCCTTACCTTACCAAGGAGGACAGCCATTTTATGACGCCACCTCCCTTTATTTAGAGAAGCGACTCTGATCCAAATATTAAGTTGAGAATTATAAATCCACACATCACGGCTATTGATTCTTCCACCTTATTTAAAAAATAGAATTGATTATTATTATATAAGTATTGTCACTGTTGGGTCTCATTGTGGAAAATGCATTATTATGTTACAGGTAGAAAACTTTTTTCTCAGTGTCAAATGTTTGAAGTTTGAAATGCTCTGCTATGAATCTGACATTGTTCTTTCAAGTTAGATATGTTGCTTTGACCTGTTGGGAAATATTTCAGGTTTAGAAAGCTTAAAACATCTGTTTTGAATACAAAATGCTGCCACGGTATTCAAAATGACTACCTCAAATTCAAAATGTTTCAATGGGAAATGCTTTGCAAACCTCTAGTTTATATTACTAAAAATAAAATGCAGAACAATCATATACTTTCAAAACGTCTTGACCATAGACTAATGGATATAAAACTTTTCTAATCAAGGAATATTTTCTGGAATGATATTTCAGTGGAAACCATACCAGATATACAGGTTCCCACACTGGAAGTTGGACATTCCCTATAATTGAAATCAACATATATAAATCAAGACGACTTTTCAGTTATTCAGAAATGGATACATAAGTCACCTCTATGTTCACTTTATTGAGCTAGTCTCTAATGCACAAATAGATAGTAAAATAGATTGGACTATAAGACGCACTCCCCCCCCCCCCCAAAGTGGGTTGAAATGACTGTGCATCTTATAGAGCGAATATTGCGGCAGGGGGATGGGGGTTGGTGTTCAGCTGTTCTAGGCGGTGGGGATTGCCACCTGTTCGCTGCCAATTGATGGCAAATTGTCAGCGGCGGCAGCGAATGGGCAGCGGCGAAGGACAGATTTTTCTTCTTCTTTTCCTCCTCTAAAGCTAATGTGTGTCTTATAGTCCACAGAGTCTTATAGTCTGAAAAGTATGGTAATTAAAAAAGATGTTAAAATAAGTTATTTTTCTATTACACCTCCCCCACAAATAATATAAAATTATTACCTGAAACAAGGATGTCATTCCTCAAAGCACAAACTGCATACTCAGATTTTGTAAATTCTGGTAATTTTGCCAGGGATTTCCACTCTCCTGTCATTGGGTCATAACATTCTGTATATGGCAAATTAAATCCCCCAACACGCTCACAACCTCCAACAACAACTATAACTTCAGAGTAGCCAGTTGATCTATAAATACAAAATATATTTATACTTTAAATATTTTAAAATTTTAGCAACAGTACTTAAAATTGATTGAAACATTATATTTAAGAACAAGATCTCAAGTCTTGCCCACTAAAATAAACATTTGGAAAAGATGATCACATTAATCAAATAGTGAGGCAAGAAAAACTCTTCCTAATGTACAAACACATTTGAAAACAGTGTTAAGCAACCTGATGATTTCCAGATATACACCTTTACTGACTGATAGTACTGGTTCAGTTAATAAGTAAACAATTAGACAGAATGAATTTAAGTCAGTATATGAATGAGAATAGAATTGAGCAACCAAGCACACCAGCTTGATTCCTTCCACTTGTGACAATAGTGAATTAAACCTGTAAACTCCATCCAAGCTGGCACTCTCTAGATTTTTTGGACTGTGGCTCACATAGGACAACATAAGTAGCAAACAGCAATCATGAGATTTGTAGCCTGAATGATCAGGTTGCATCCCCCGCCCCGCTCTCCAATTTACAAGATCTGCAAACCAGGATATATTACTTGTTACACTAATAATAAAGGGGGTGTCTTGATATATGATTTGATAAAGAGAACCAATAGTTAGGTTTTTCAATTCACACATAACATTAGACAAACCATGAAAGTATGTTCTAGATCTACTTACTCCCTTTAGCATAGGGAATTAAATGGTAGTGAGTGAGCAGCATATACACTTGCTTTTTCCAATGTGCAAATCAAACTATTAACGTTGTTAGCTGAACAATATTATTCTGGAATGCAACAGACAGCTACACTGCAGATCATCTTACCTTCGTGGTCTAGTTCTTGAAGACATCATTTCATTTCCAAGGACATGGTACCTTCGTGCTTCATGCAACAACTGGTAACATTCAGGTGAGTTTTGGATCAACTGATCTACTTCCACTGTCTGAACAAAGTAGTTAGGATGTAACAAAGGCAGTCTCACGTGTGTGAGAATTTCTTGTAGAACTGAGCGCCTGGATTCCACAGCCCGGTAAACCCAGTGCATAACTGCTTCAAATACCATCTCCTCTTTGCTTATTACCAGTTCATCACTGCAAATGTAATCAATAAGTTCATCTTTTCCAAGCTCAAGAAATTCTTCATGCTGGGCCACATCCTCAAAATTTTGCAGTGCAAAAGTTTTGCATTTTGTAAAGAGTGTTTTCAGAGAGTGTGTATCGGCAAAACGTTGAATTCCTAGACAGTTACAAGGATCTAGCTGCTCTTCTAGGAACTTAGCACATGCATCACGCAAAACACTTATTTGAAAGAGACTTGATGTTTCAAACAGGTACTGCACATTATCCGTGGTGATTTTTACTTTGCCTGTATATACATATTGTAAAAAGCAATCCATGGCTTCAGCAAAAATCCCATTAATTTCTACCAACATCTCCCGACTTTCTCTGTGATCATTGCAAAACATAGCTCTGAAGTAGCTGCTGCAAGCTGAAAGAACAGCACGATGACAAGGAAATTCTCTGCCTTCAACACAGATTATTACATCTGTGAACAAGCGACTGTCACGAAATTCATTGAAGACCTGAAGTATGTTTTCGGCATGGGATGATCCAGAAGAAAAATCAAAGAACTCATGGCCTGATAAAGACTTTGGGTCCATTTCAAAAACTTTACGCTTAGTGACTGGGGATTCTTGGACCCGACTATCCCCTCTGTTCAATCTGCGCCCCAGTATTAGTACCATGGTTACATCAACTGTTCATGCAATCATGGAGAAGAGATGTGATGAATATTTTCTTGGTGCTAAAAATAGATATTTTAAAAATATTTCAGTTTACAAAGGACATTAATACACTAAGTAAAATAATGGGTCATCCATGCAATAGGACTATAGTCTTACTTAGTCAAAAGGAGCAAACAATTTCTCAAAACTAAACTTTGTCTTAGAGCTATTTTGCTAAAGTAACCAATCCTAATATTTCTTTAGCACAGGAAAACTTTACAGAATATATTAAATGAATGAAAGATCTTTGAAGGGAGATTAAATACCATTACACAAAGAGGTGTTTTGGGGAGGGAGAATCACTTGCAACTTCATCCTCACAAGCATCACTTTCACTTTAGCATATACATTTAATAGCCATCAAAATGGGATATATAGAAGCTAGATGGGGACAGTTTTGTATTCAAACATCTTCATTCTCACACAGGACTCACTATTTAATGACACTAGTAATTTTTCTTTATAGATTTCTGGTGGGAAAACTGGGAAAGAGAAAGACAAAGAAAACCTAAAGAATTCTCTTGGAAAAAATGCCTAGTTACTAACCACCCTGGTCAGCATAAGCTAACAGGGCTTTAACAATTACAAATAATTCATTTTAACTGTATTTGGTATTGTAGAAAAAAATATTATCAATAGAATTAGTGAAGATACATGAGAAACATTTGTGTTGTAACATTTGAAGATTTTCTTAAGTAGACTGTAGTGAATTTAGACATGAGGTTAACTATGCTTATTTGTCATTAAAATCATGATCTGAGGGAAAATAAATATGAAATAGTAATCTAGAATATTTTAGAAGCCTATAATTGGACTGTTGATATATTAATGATCACTGGCAGCCATCCAACAATTGAGGCAAGGTAGATAAGCATAAGGGGAAAGATTAAAAGTCTTTTCATTTAGTCCTATCCTCATCAACCCATGCAAATTGTAACAATTCTACTTAGGTTAACAAAAATTCATTCCTGTAATTTCTGAATTATTAAAATGGAAGTTCCTTCTTAGTTTAACACACTTGTTGCATTAACCTGAACTCCACTAAATCCTGTGAATCTGAAACAATGTGAATATGTTAGACATGGATGTTTTATTTCAGTAATCAATGGACTCAACTAGATAAGTGTGTTTCTTTCTGGAAGACATCATAACCATTACCCACAGTTGTAGAAATTTCATAAGGTTAAGAAAACAAGTAATCTTTATTCAAAAGTTTTCTATTCTAAATGTGCATAGACAGGGTTTAGACATAACATTTATCAATGATTTTTAAAACTACAGTTATTGAATAAACAACTGGGCTAACAAAACACCCAAAGCACATATTTATTATGTTAAAGTGATGGTTGAAATAGATCAGTGTTGCTCTAGCTGTGTGTGCCACTGGTGATGCAAGCATATCTGGGTAGAAGATTACTTCCTTTTCCAAACCAGCTGTCTTGTACTTTTCAAGTAAGAATAATACTATTCCTGAAGTCATTGTATTGATTGGCAATAGATTTCTGGGCTTAATAGTTAGCTGATTTTTATATTTAAAACCCTTCATGACAGGCAAATTAGTTTCAGTTTAATGATTATGGAAGAAAGAATGTGGATAGCCTAAAGCCGTGATGGCGAACCTATGGCCAGAGGTGGCACGCAGTGCCCTCTCTGTGGGCACGTGAGTGGTTGCCCCAGCTCAGCTCTGCTGCGCATATGCGCGCGCCTCCAACCAGACAGCTGGTCTTTGGGTCTCTGCTGTGCATGCGTGGGCGGGGGGGCCCACACATGGAGGGGCGTGCACACATGCGCCACACAGGCATTGCATTTTGGGGGTTCGGGTGTGCGTACATTCGGGCACTCAATCCGGAAAAGGTTAGCCATCACTGGCCTGAAGCATTCTAAATTACTTCACCACAGAATTAAAATGATAAATCTCACTTATCAATTCCATGCCTCTTTACTCCCACTGTGAGTATTTTTTGTGAAAATACTACTTTAGGTAGCTTGATTTTACCTACCAAATATTGCACAGAATTAGTACAGTCCTCTTATAATCATTAATGAGATTAGGCAAAATTACAGGAACAAAAGATGATTACTTCCTTTAAGTTTGTTTACTTCTTCATATTCATCTCAAGTTAGCCCTGGAACTCTGATCCTTTCTTTCTTGGGACATAAATTTTAAATTACCTCCTTAAGGTATAACTCCTTAAGAGGAAGCAATTGTATTTTTTTCTTTGTTGCTCTAAAAAATAAAAAAAAAAGTAAAGTCTTTTTCCAATAGAGCTCAACTCCTGTGACTTCATGGACATGCAGTAGTTTTCTTGGTATCAAAGCTTTAGTGAGTTCTTGCCTCACTACAGCTTTTTTCAGCGCCCCAGTCTAATCTATAGTGCTAGAATTTCCCATTAGTTTCTCATCCAAACATTGAACAGATCAATTATGGAAACTGGTATTATATAAAATAACAAAATAACGGATAATAAGTAGTGCAACATTACTGCTGTACATTTCACCTTGAGTCAAATTAAATAATTGCTAGGTAGTCTGATGTAGTGGTTAAGGCACCTGATTAAAAACCAGGAAACAATGAGATCTATTCCTGCCTCAGGCATGAAAACTAGCTGGATGATTTTAGGCCAGTGACTCACCTCACAGGGTGGTTGTGGGAAGAGAAAGAAATATTGGACGTTTGCTGCCTTGAGTTTTTATAAAAAATAATAAAGGCAGGATAAAAAAAAATCTAAAAAATAAAGATAAATTCTGCCAACTATAAAAATGTACATTTTATGGTTCTTTAATTTCAACTGGAGAGCAAGTTTGATGTAATGGTCAAAGCATGGGGCTAGAAACTGTTGAGATTGTGAACTCTACTCTAACCTTGGGTAGTAATTATCAGCTAGGTGACCTTGGACAGTCACTTTCTCTCAGTCTTGGGAAAGAGGGAGGCAAACAACTTCTGAAAAACCTTGCCAAAAAAACCTGCAGTGACTCATCCAGTCAGCCTCTGAGAAATTGACACAATTGAATGGAAGAAGAAAAAACCTTTGTTTTATAATTTGAAGCTTTGCTACTTTTATACTATTTTGGGAAAGCAGATTCATATTCTGTTGGTTTGCAAGAAGCTTCCGAGATTACTTTAATTCATTCTTGCATAAAGTTTATAAAAACTTTAAAGTTTATAAAAACTTTATGCAGGCAACCCAGCTGCAACAATTCTACTGCAATTCAATGTATTATTTGAAGGGATTTCTAAAACCATACAGCGGAACAAAAGGAACAAGTCAGGCTCATATACAGGGTTTCCGCCTTACAAAATTGTAGCTCTGCACACGGTAGGTAAACGGTGTACATGGATAGTTTCGGGATGACTTCGATGCCATTAAGTTACACTTTTGCGTTCGTGTTTCTGAGCGTGTAGGCGGCTCGATAACTGCAATTCCACGTTGTTTTCCTGCGGGCCATTCGGGATTATAGAGATAAAAGCCTTTCGCGGTTACGCCAGCACCCCGCTGACCTAACAGACGAAGTTCTTAGAAACCTTAAACGGAACAGGACCGTCTCGTAACTCCATATCAACGCCACCAGCTGTTACACAACTGGCCTCGAGTCGAACCCGAGCAGCCGCCAGGCGAGCTCGCACGAACAACACAAGCACATCCTACAATTCACCTTCACCCGAACAGAACAGGAGACAAGACCCGCCTCCCCGCATTTTATGTCCAATTAGAGAATGTACTTTTTCAAGCACGCTCACTTCTCCCTTCGTCTTCAGCTGGGGTGCGCTCCAATCAGCAGCGACCTTTCCTTCAGTTCTCAAGATGGAGAAGGAAGCTGCGATATATTGGGGAGGGAGAATCAACTTGGAAAAGACTCGTTTGGATGGATGTCCACTTTTTATCCTCTCCTTTTCTTTCTTTCTTCTTTTCTTTTCCCTCATATAGCTCATAATAGTTATGCATAACTCCTTTAAAAAAATGTCGACGGCTTAAATGTTTTTGAAGCTATTTCTATCCTCCCCTCCGGAAAAAATGGTCTAGTCCAGTGGAGGGACCAGCCAACAGCCACTTCGCCAACCGCCTCATGGGGGAGGAGAGGGGGGTGGGGGACAAATTCTAAGAACCGGGATATTGATCTCCCGGGAATATGTCGTTGAGCCCGGGAAAGGGACAACACAGACTGCTTCTTTATAGGCTGTGCATTTGCCACTAAACGTAGAAGGGTCACCAAACGGGACTTCTAGTTACTATAATGCAGTTGGGGGGGGGGGCGGGGGGAAACAATGGGCGAACTTCCCGATGTTCTCAAAAATAACCCAAATCTGCTGGCCAAAACTTTCTAATCGGTCCAAACAGAAATAGAAGTCCAAACCACTAACCGAAGTACTTGGAAGCGAGAAAAAGGAAGGGAAAAGACAAATCTCTAGATGGTAGATCTGTTTTAAGTTTCTACATAGGAAAGACCCCTTAAAAGAAGACGCAATCTAGCACTTTACAAAGTCGCCGAAATCTGTGTCGCCAACCGTGTAAATCCACATTTACGCATTTTAAAAGAAGTGGTCGAGAAGGATTTGCGCGCCTCACCCGCCACCGCCGCCACGCATATTGTTTTTCCACCTTCTGATGAATCCCACTTCCTTTCTCGATGCGCAAACAAAGCAGTCAACAGCATTAACGGTGTTGTGATTTGTGCTTATGTGCCTTTCTCGCGCTACCAACCGAAGAAAGAAATCAACGCTTGTATCATTTTCTCTGGCCACATAATACCGAAGGATTTTCCCTCCTCCGCAATGGCAGATTTTAACAAAGAATCCCTTTGCGTTTAAAACTCCATTAAATTGCATTTAGCACTTTTTCGCGAAAAGCGAAAGGATGGGGCAATGCTGGGGTGGGTGGGGGTCATCTATTTTATCATCGGGCAAGGAGTGTCAGCACTAAAATCAAGCCTAACGGCATTAGTATCGTTGTTTTGAATGTGTTTCTGCTGAAATAGAAATGATCACCCGGCCCCCGATGACATTTTTGGCCTCGGGGAATTCAGCTCAGTTCTCAGCGACTGAGTTCACAGTGAAGACGTTTACCTGTCTGTCGCTTTTTCCTGGAATTAAAGAGTAGCCAGCAGCAAGCCTCTTGCTTCCTTCTCCTTAGCCCGCTCGCCGCTCGCTCTTTTTGCCTTTTTCAAGTTCGAGCTCAACTCTAAACAAAGAAGACCCCAAACATGTGACCTCTCAGAGTCAAAACAGATGATGTCACGGACTTGCTAGCCAATCTCAGCAGGGCCGGCGGAAAGTCTTGGGAGATGTAGTTCTCTAAATCGAATGGTTTGCGACGCAATTTCATCTGCCGTTGTTGAAAGAAGTAAATTTCCTCTTACAAAACTGAGAGATGCATAACTTCATTGCTGTCGAGGCGATACTGCGTGATGATTTCTGTATAGGCAGACAGGGGCAGCTTTAATTTCTTAAAAGTTTGTTTCTATTGAACATAAAAAAAAACCTGCAGCACTATAAAACACTATATAGTGAAGAAAGAACATCTAACATAATGTAATGATTAAAACAAGCTAAAGAGTGTCGAAAGAAGAAAACTAATTAACAAAAAAAATTAATACAGATGAAACAAATTCATTTCTTTTCTTATTATTAAATCAGCACATGAGAGACACATTGTATCTTCTTATTGTTAGAATAAAGAGACTTTTCAAAAAATTAGATAAGCTTATATTCTGGATCCTTAAAATCAGGAGAATAAGCTTCTTTCTATTTACATAAAATTATCCTTTTTGTTGTACCACATGCTCGAGAGCAAAGCTCTTGAGATGACAAATTCCATATCCTTTAGTATTTCTCCCCAATATTATATTGACATACACAGTGATTTGAAACCAAAGCAAGCCTGTAGCTGGAGAAGACCAGATCTATGAGTTAAAGAAACTTTAAGTTTCTTACACCAACATAAAAAATTTAATGCCCATCCCTTTTTAACCATTCTTTGAAAGTTAGCATTAAACCATATTGCTTTACAACTTCAATAAACTTTTTTTAATGTATTGCATAATTATCAAGGATATACATAATATCAATATATAAGCACAATTTATAATTATTATTGAGCACCACTACATCCTTAATAGTTTGAGATTTTCTAACAAATGAGGTTGATGATTCAAGATTCAAAATGGAGATTTATACAGATAAGAGGCATCCTTGTTGGGTGTCATGGATATAAGATAACAGATGGAGAAATAAACCAGTTCCTAATAACTCTACACAATGTGGGAAGAGAACTAGTTTGGTGTAAAGCATCAGACTAGATCTTGTCCAGGCAATCACTAGGAGTCAACATTGACTCAAAGGCACAAAGCAAAACTGGGTGAAGACACAAAATTGTAATTCAGTAAACAAAAGATGGTGGAAATACCTATCTTCTTAGAAGCCACTTCATAAATTCAATCTGGATCAAATGGAAGTCTCTTTCAGCATCCAACAAAATTAGATCTGATTCCAATTTATGGATTTATGCTGCAATATGAAAAATATCAATCAGGTGAATATTGTCAGAAGCATGTCTTTTTTTAAAATAAATCGATACTGTGATGAATGGATTATAAATGATATTACCTGCTATAGCCTCCTCCTAAATGTTGTAGTTGCAGTTTGTATGTTTTGCCTTCTAGAGCCTTTGAATCATGTGGAAAGTTTCTGCATCAGTACAAGGGATGATTGCAGGTAAAAAAAACAAAGGCAAGGAAATCTCCATGCAGTCTGAGGTTCGGATTGGCAGTCTCCATTTGATGTAACGGCCTTGGCGAGAAAGTAGTTATTATCTTAAAGAAGCCTCAGGTCCCAAGACATAAAAAGAATGACTCACTGCTCTTCCATACAGAAATGCTAAAGTTCAGGTATGCAGTGCTGGACTTGCAGCACTATTGACACTTAAAATTAACTTCCAATCTTACTCTGCTTCAGTAGAGCTTTCATCCATATCAGAAACAGGTGAAGAGAGAAGTAGGGCAGAGAATACTCTCTTTGGTACCAGTTTAATGCCATGGAAAAAATCAAAGGAATCATCCTTCTCTTCCCCTTCCTCTCCCCTTCTCATCAGTGGAAGACAGGAAACGGAAAGGGAAAGTTATGGGCAAGGCTCCCTTTCTAATCCCATGGAAATTGGAGATTTGTCTCACTTCTTCTACTCTCCCTGTCTTTTCTGCCACCCAAGGGTTGGCAAGAGATGTTGGAAGGATGGCTTTTTGGCACAATGACAGAGCTCTGACTGTTCTACAGCCAAAAGGCAATGTTCCTAAAACCAGTGGCTAAAGCCTGTGTCATTCTTCAGACTTACCAAATGATTTGTCACAAACTGACCACCTGCTGTTTGTAATAACAGAGGTGAGAAAAATACACTTTTGAAGGCCAGAGAAAAATAACAAAGTGAAGATCACTTTGAGGTGGACAATGGGTAGCCTGAGGATGCCATTATGAGTATATTCCTCCAAAAACAACAACAACAACAACAACGAATGTGTTTCTTTTACTGGGACTAGCAAGACATGCAAATGGTTCCTCAGTTGTAGAAAGCGAATTAGCATAGAATGAACATAGATTGAATTTTCTCTTTAATATTGCCAACATTATTTCAATGTACATTGACATTATGGCTGGCATTGATATATATTATAATACTAAGATTACATTAAATGAAAAATGACTTTAGATGGTTACCAATATATAAAATAAATATGTATTGAAAAATCCAGCTGTAATTAATATATAGATACCCTTTTTGAAAGATAAAATTGAAAGATAAAAACTAACACAAAAAAAGAATAAAAAGAAAAATAGAAAATGCAGAAAAGAAAAAATAGAAAAGAAAAAAGATTATAGTATAAGAAGAAAAAAAAATGACTTCCCCTTCATCATTTTTTAAAGTAATTTATCACCATGTCTTAAGCGTTAATATATAGATCTGATTATGATACTGTTGACATTCATACGCTAATGAGAAACACTGTATCTCATTTCCGGTTATTTAAATTTAAAACACTGGTAAATAGAAAGTTTATTTTTACTGTACATTTCCTTATACATGTGGTTAAGTTTGATGTTTAAAGGGTTTAATACAGTATATCTTGTCAATAAATTTCAATTAACTGCAAAAAAAGTGAAAACAATTTTAATACTATTTGCTATAAATTGTAGTCTTCTCATATTCAAAGGCATATGAAAGTTGTGTTTAGGTATATGAAAACTACTTGAAATATATAAGATTTAGAAAACAACTGACTTTGTTTGTGTTAACAGGATGAGAAAGTGCAAGGCTTCCTGTTATGTGAGTGTGACAGCTGTAGATAAGTGGGGAGGCCCTCACAGGAAATCCGTCTTACATCTGCAGCATGACTTGTCTAAGGCTGAGAGACTATCTCTAATTGAAGTATCAATGGCATGGCATGGTGCTAAGTGATCAAACATGGGGGACATGGTGAAGAAGGACTTGGAGGATGAAACTGTATTGCCGTTGGAAAATGAATGTACCAGAAACATGGGAGAATTTGTGGAAGTTTCTCTGAATGAAAGGGTTAAATTTAATGACACAGGCTTATCCATGGTCCTACAGAATGGCTTGGAGAATCTCCGTCTAGAAAACTCTCTCACAGACGTTACCCTGTGTGTTGGCAGCATGCATTTTTCGTGCCACCGTGTGGTCCTTGCAGCAGCAAGCAATTATTTTAGGTAAGGTAGATATTTAAAATAAGACCTCTTCATTGGATTGAACAGATCTCTATCAACTTAGCAAATAAGACGATAAAACTACATTTTCATATATTTGATTTAAATCTATCTGTATTCTGTATGTTTCCCCAAATTTTGTATTTGGGATGGTGCTAGAACACATTTACAGTGAATGTTATTAGGGTAGGCTTTAAAATGATAAAAATGATATGCAGGCTGCAAATCCCTAATCTATAATTACTGACAGGAATGAATTGACTGAACTTGTATCAGATGCTAACAATAATTATTCTCTGTTAATAAGGTAGGAGTTTCTAAGGATACATTCAATGAAATTCCGCTTGGA